ATCTACAGTTTGAGTTCATTAGTGAGTAATATCAAGTGACATCTATGTGTGACATTTTACCAGCGAACTGTGTACTACGGAGTACAGTTCACTGCATTTAAATGACTTTCACGGAGACCTATAAATTATGAACAGAAACCATTAAGTATTATATATCTATAATCTATGTCTGTGGCAGAAACGAAACAGATAAACAAGAAATACCTCACAACTCATAAAATGATTTTAATTTATAAATTAATAATCATTCTCGTGTAAGATATTTTATAGTTAATGGAAAATAATTCATATTTTACTCGGATGAAATGCAATTAAATAATAAGTAACCTTCTTTACACCACAAAAGGATCCAAGACTTAAAATTTACATGCCTTTTACTTTGACTTGCTAAAAAACATGTACTTAACTATATTATTTTATATTTTAATTAAAACTCAGGTATCAAATTCCAACTGTGGTTGCCAATTAAGCAGAGAGACTGATTCATGTGGAGATAATCCTGCAGCTAAGTACTTCAAGGATGTAAATGAAGATTTCAATGATGGGGCCCAAACCCCACATAAAGTAAACATTGAAGATATGGCACTTATTAAAAGAAACACTTTTACAATGGGTACTGATAAACCAGTTTTTGTGTCAGATTATGAAGGACCAGTGCGTAATGTAACTGTAGCAACCTTTTACTTGGATGCACATGAAGTTTCAAACATTCAATTCATGGAATTTGTTGAACAAACAGGCTACAAAACAGAAGCTGAAGTTTTTGGTGACAGTTTCATCTTTGAAATGTTCATATCCAAGGAGGAACAGGAAAAACACAAAGATTATAGAGCTGTCCAGGCCCCATGGTGGATAAAAATGATGGGAGTATCATGGAAGCATCCTGAAGGACCCTTGTCTGATATAAAAAGTAGAGAGAAAAAAGAATTATATTTACTTACTCTTACCTAACCCTTTTCTATTTTTTACACAGACAGAATGGACCATCCTGTAATACATGTCTCATGGAATGATGCAGTTAAATATTGTAGTCATGTGGGGAAAAGATTGCCTACTGAAGCAGAATGGGAAATGGCATGCAGAGGAGGCCTACATCAAAAGCTTTATCCTTGGGGAAATAAATTAATGGCAAAGGGACAACATTGGGCAAATATTTGGCAAGGCGACTTCCCTCAAATTAACACAGCAGAAGATGGATATATTTCAACATCACCCGTTGTCAGTTTTCCTCCCAACAAATTTGGACTGTATAATATGGCTGGAAATGTTTGGGAATGGACCCAGGATTCTTGGGCATCAGATACAGTAAGATTTTTAACACTGTCAATTCTATCATTTTTAATTATATTCAGTATATTTTCTTCTCAGGATTTGAAAGTTAAAAAAGGGGGTTCTTTTTTATGTCACGAAAGTTACTGCTGGAGATACAGGTGTGCAGCTAGATCACACAATACTGCAGATACATCAGCCAGTAATTTAGGTTTTCGATGTGCAGCTGATGCAATGAAAAATAATCTTTAATCTTGCCCTTTGATTCATTGAACGATAATAACTAAGACAATAATGTGCTTCAGTATTAATACTAAAGCATTATTATACTTTAAAACGCAAATCTATAATTTTTAAATTTCAAGTAGTTAATTGCCAGTGGAATGTATCTATTCGTGAATGAACAGAAACGCATTTTTATAATAATTGTTAAAGTACTTAAGTTTTGTTGTTTGAAGTCTTCCGCTTGCATGTATTGTTAAAAAATCAGAAAACCTGATATAATAGGAAAATATATATTTTTTGCAAGATTCGCTTTACATTCTTCTTTTTAATTGTAATACATAGTAATGAATTTAATNTTATAATAAATACTTAAAAAAAAAAAGAAGGTGATGTACAGTTGTGGCTTTTATTTCATTTTCATTAACATCAGTTTTTTCTTTTATCTGTAGATTTGCAGACCCTTTCAACTTCCTAACAAGTCTCACTAATTTACCGCCTGCTCGCTTTATTTCGAACCACAGTTCATTGTCTGAACAAAGAGTAGAATTGAAAAAAGTAGACGATAAAATCTTACGAAATGACTCGGTAATATCATCACCATTTCAAGCAGTTTATTTGAACGATTTTTCAAAGGCCAACCTCCTAAAAAACGGAGATGGAGATCGTAACCAAGACGTGGTGACTTACAAAAGCAATCCCCTGTTTCAATTTTTGAAAAATGGACACACTATACAACTGAACAGAATTATCAGTTTTAGAAATACGGATGGAAGTAACGACGTTGCCACTTTAATTTTAAAACCCATAGCTAGAGCCGTTGCGGCTCAGGATGGGAAAGCTGTAGCAAACCCCTTGTCAAGGGCTGTTTTACGAAAAGGGACAGATGTCGACATTCTTTTTGAACCTGAAGCTTTTGCCATCGTTGGGCCCGGGGGCATAGCCCATGCGCAAAGTGACTTGGAAATAAGCTACGAAAATGATGATGAAAATTTTACGAAACATTTAAATACCTGATGGGTATAAAAAATGAAAAAGAACATTTTTAATTCTTAATTTATTGTCGTCCATTCAATATTGTAGATAAATTTTTTTGGAAGAAACTACTAGACCATTTTATAATTAATTAGTTAAACAGTTTATAGCTTGCCTTCTTCGGCAATCGACTGACTCTCTGCATGCATTTATTCCTTCAGTTAATTTATTTCAAATTAGGCTAACGACTGCAGTATTTCTTTCTTGTATAAGTACTCTGTATTATCTTCACTCTAACTAATCTTTAATTAAGATGAAACGTAAAGTGTATTTTTTTTTTTTATTTAAAATTTTCACTGCATATCGTGAATATTTATTAATACCACGTAACTACATACATTTCTGTAAAATCAGTCACCTGTGGCAATTTGTTGGTAATGTGGCGAAATAAAGGTTGCAATGAATATCAACCAAAAATTACGAAACATGTATGCATAGGTACGTCTGCAAAATTGATGAACATTTCGCTTTGTGTTGATTATGGTTTACTCACTGTATTTAATGATTTTTTTTTAAGTATAAAACCTTCGAAGACAACACTGCTTCCCTTCTATGGCGGTGCTAAGGGGCAAAGTTTAGAAATAATTCAACTACCAGACGGTAAAGTAATAATGAATATAATCAAGTCTCCACCCACCACGGAACGTCCAAGGGAAGAAACAACTGCGCATCCCGAGGACGTGGAATATCCTTCAATTCCCAATAGGTACGAAGATGATTTCGACGAACCTGAAACAAATATAAGGACAGTGAAACTCACTGCCGATCGTCTAATTCAATTGCAAGACAAATCAAAAAACGACAGTCCTTTAAGTGAAGAAGAACAGACGGAGTTTAACAGGGGAATTGCCCTTTTGAGCGAAACTGCTTCAAAATTTGCCCAACTTCAACAAAAAGATAAGCTAATATCTCCCATGGAGTCGAAAACTGATGTTTCGGACTGGTTGAGCAGAAAAAAGGACAAGAAAGAACCCAACAAAATTAAAGACGACAACAAGAAGGAACAAAAGAAGAAAGAAGATGAAAAACGTAAGGAGGAAGAACAGAATAATAAAGAAGACAGACTTGAAGGAGAAAAGAATAAAGAACAGAATCAGAATGAAGATTCAGACGAAATTGCCATCAATTTACCCTCGGAGGAAGCTTCGGTCGCCGAAGCTAAACCGGTAGGGTTAGCTGTAGCAGGTTAGAAATAAATTATTTAAATATAAAAGAACGTGGTCCTTATCATAGGCATTTTCCACTGAAAATTGGTAAAATTCTCCTCAGTAGTAGTACTTAGTTAAAATTTTCAGTTTAGAAATTTTCGGAACTAAAGCCAGGGCAAAGTCGTATTCACATATGGCGCTTTTAGGTAAATTTTAAGGCAACGTTTTCCAGTCCGTTTAAAACATTTTATTTAATTTCATAAAAAGAAAATCCCTTATTATCGTGTGGTGATTTGTGCCCCTATATCGGAACTGTGTAAAACACTAAAACCCAAATTTCAACATAAAAGCGTTTAAAAAAAAACGACCAAAATGTCATCCTCAGTTACGGGTACAAAAATATTTTATTTTAGGTGAAGGAGGAGTGGCAGCAAGTCGACCCATAGCCACGGCCGTTTCAGGTAAGGGTGGTCTGGCAGTAGCACGTCCTGTGGGAACAGCTATTGCTGGTGTAGATCCTGACGAAGCTCTTTTATTAGTTTATGGTCCTGGAGCGTCGAGTCGTCCTTCAGGAGATAAGGATAAAGGAAAAGTTAAACCGAAGAAAAGGAACACCGAAATGGTGTATAGACTAATTCAAAAATATCAGGAAATGTAATAATAAATTAATTTGTAAGTAAGCGATAAATATATTGCTTGTGTCTAGATATATTATAATAATGTGTATATTTTTCTATGCTGTATCGTACTTTCTAGTAAGAGTTGCTGCGTAATTTTTTGTACTTTAGCTTTTAATACGTTCATTAAGTAAAAGAAGAAAATAAATTAAAAATATTATCTCTATATCACGTTGTATCCTTCTGAACTATTTCACGTAAATAGTTCTGGTTTAAAATAATACACAAACTGTTTTAAAAATGCTAAAAGTGCTTTGAGCGCGAGATACGAAATAAACGTCTATTTTTTCAAAAGTTTGTGACAGTTATATAAAGATGAGTCTATTTGATATTACTCTATTTCTTCACCACGGTCTCCTTTACTATTCTGGTTTAATTCTTATTATTTGAATGCAATAGATGAATAACTGGCAAACGTTCTTCTATGACATTTTATTACAATTGAATCAAGCATTCCATTAAATGAGTAACATGATTCGTAATGTACGGATTTTTATGAATTAAGTTCTCATAAATATTTACAATACAGCTATCGGAAGAATAAATCAAAAACACTAATTCAGAAAGATTTAAATAAATAACACTTATAATAGCTTCACAAAACGTTATTGTTAACAAACTCCGCAATCAATATTTCCCTGCATTTATTTGTATGAATATTAGCATCTTCCTCAGTGCTGATGATTCTTCTCTTTGTTCTTTCCGCAATCTTAATAAATAGTTAATTAAAATTGCTCTATTTTCCATTCATATTTGTTATACTTACTTGCATAAACATCCGTCCTAGTTTTTTATTATTTCCTATTTTTATCTTCAAGATCTGGATGCCACCACAAGAAAAAATACCCCGCGCAAACAGTAATGGGTACCATGAATAATCTTTCCACAATCCAAGAATGCCTAAACGTGTTTCGAATAATAATTCTCTTAAAGTATACCTATATAAATAATTGTCTTAAATCAAGTATGCATATGCATTAAAAACAACTGATATAAGGTAAGTATGTATAGTAAGTGTTTGCATTTGTAGGGTTCGGCATTGACTCATTGCCCCCCACCTGCAGGGTCCTATAAGAAAGGTCGTTGAAACATTATTGTTTAACAAACACTTCTCAAACTATTGTGTGAAGACGTAAGAAAAAAGTCTGGTGAGTACAACCCTCTGAGTATCTATTTCTAATCGTTATAGTTTTATAGTGAAGTGCATTTCTTTATTTTATTCTCTTAAACAATTTTTATATATTTTTAAGTAGGTATCAAAAATTTTAATTTTAAATGCCTTTTTGAAAGGGTATTTCTGTAACTTATTTTCTCTGGATGTGGTATAAGTATGTACATGCATATGTAGTAGATATTATTAAAAAAATGCAATTTTGAAAAAATCGATAAAAAATAAAACTACACTGTACACTAAATAATAATACATATAATGTATATTAATTGCCCTTTCTTGAAAATACTTCTGTATATGCAAAACATAAGAAATAATTAAAACGTAATTAATGCCAAAGATAATTTATTTACTTTGTGCGTCTAATTGTGCTACTAAAAGGCATATAGTGTATACTTAGTAGTGCAATTCTTAAGTAATTAAGTATTACGTTCATACGATTACTTTCAATTTTCTTTCAAGAATTTGCGAAATTCTGTGTCCTACACCTACTTTGATAAAATTGACCTTTAACGGTATAATCCAAAGAATCCCGTGTTTAATGGTTTCTTCCGATTTGTCACGTTTAAATCTTAATTACATAGAAATTATGAAAATTTTGACAGCTAATTTTCTATTTTCAGTTGAAGGGCGTATACATTGTATAATTATTATATCACGATTTTTAAAGATTAAATAAATAGATAATTAAATTAAAAAACCTCTCATAGTCATAAGTAATGCGTATGTTTCTATCACGTCCAATAAAAGATTTTTCGTCCTTTTTATGTAACGGAATACTAATCAGCAACATTTCTTTTTAATTAATAGTAGATAATATGGTTGTGAGTTTTTCAAAGCTTTTGTTCCTGTTTATCCATGTGATATTGGCAAGGACTAGTTTTGGAGTAGGAGATGATCAAAAGCTAGCAAAAAAGTTTGAATATCAAAGCGCTCCTCCGAAAAATGATAAAAAGGTGGATTTGAATTTCAAAAACGCTTACCCGAACACTTTTCAATACCATAATGGACTTTCATCAATTTTTCCCGAAATTCAAGATGAAAAGTTTGGCGGCTTCAATGAAAAACAAACTTTTCCAAGNAACCACGGCCACCCTCGCGAGATCCACTGTCCAGCCCCTGTAAATTCCGCGATCCAAAATCAACGCTCCAACTTGTTTTGTAGTTCTGTGTCCTTGACAGGAATAGGTCAATAGTTCACATTTTTGTTATTTGCTGATTTTACTTTTTAGATTATGCATTTAATTGCCTTCACATTTTTTTTAATAAACGCAGGAATAGAGCTATCCGATGTTTGTGTCCCTAGAGGCCCGGTTGTGACGTTTCCTTGGAGGATAATCTCTAGCAAGAGGGGTATGAAGGGAGGACGTTGGTTGTGGCGGCTGACGCCCCTTGGCCTGCGGCTAAAAAAGGACAGAAATATCTAACGTACTAAATAACAAAATTATTATTTTTCTATTTGTCTTGTTATAGCTAAATATATAAACTAAAGAAGGTTGATAATGCAGTTTAATAAAATACATTAGATTAACGACAGTGACTTCAGTTAAATAAACTAACTGTAAAAATATACTTCCATGTTCAGTAAAAGATTTAGAGCACGCTTGCGCTGACGTGGAGTAAAATGAAAGAGAAAATTGCACGCTTTCAAAGCCTGGCCCCATGTGTTAACGAATGGCGTGGTTTGAGAAACAGTTGCCCAACCTGCAATAACGTGCATGGAAGAACCGGGCCTAAACCAGCCTAAATTTTGCACGCCCTAAAGTGTTACTTTACATCCTTATCGTGCATTCAAAAGTTGCGGTATTCATAAAGTGCCTTCTTAAAAATATTACAGAAATTGTTTTCAGTGCGGTGTTGCATAAAACGTTATCGATTTCAAGGTAACTGAAGCCTGGTTCACAACAGACAGAGAAACACAAAGTGAAGTGAACATGTATGGAATTTATTTAAATTTTGAAGAATAATGACTACAGAAGTGACATCTCTAAAGACAGAATACGTCCAGAACAACTCACAGGTAAAGTTTTTTTCTGTTGTGCTTGTTAAATTACCGCGTTTATGGAATTTTGTTACCTTAGGGCGGGCAAGTGCGTAGTGGGTTGTGGGAGTTGCTTTGTGGTTCCAGCAATAGATAGGAGGCCGAGCATTGGCTCCGGTTAGGGTCGGAGCCGTCTTTATAAAATAAGATTGTGCTTACAGTTCTTTTATCNTCTTTTTCCTAAACGGTCAAACGCTGTTTCCAAATTTCGAGGGATTTGAAAATGATTTTCTCGGTCCTTTTAAAATTTTCGAATTAAGTCCTCAATATTCTCCCGAAAAACGAGTCGAAGAAAGGAATAATCAGACTCCGTCCTTTTTCGATCACAAACATCTAAAAGACGTCCGCAAAACTCCCAACACTTATGAGAAAAACGCTAAAGAAAGTGATCGGCAACGTTTTGCTTTCTTTTACCCCGATAATTCGATTCTTTTAAATCAACCTGTTGCTCATATAAGTCATCAGAGTCTAAAGGACATAGCAGTACCTGCACTGTATTCCTCGTCATCAACAGAAGAAACGAAAGATGTGAAAACTAAAGAAAAGGAGCAAAGCAAAATCACAAATCCTCCCTCCACTCGATTTGGCACTCTATCAAATAGATACAGTTTATTGGGTTCAGACGTTGGCCATGTCTTTGGAAACGATCATTTCCCTGGCTTTTATGACCTTAATTCATCGTTTCATTCTGAGAAAGACGCCCACGAAAGAAATGTCGAAGAAATAAACGCCAACAAACAAAAAGAATATAACAAGTTAGGTATGTACCTAAAAGCGTAAATTGTTATTGTTCAACCCTAATTCATTGTTTTTTATAAATTAGCGATGTTTATTAATATAGATAATGTACATATGTAGATAAAGCTCAATCGGAAGCTGTTGCCGTTACTGTTTCTGGAAATGGCGGTATAGCTTCTGTCGCTCCAAAAGCGATTTCCACAACTGAAAAACACGGTACAGCTAATCCTCAAACTACAGCAACTGGAGGCCTCGATACTACTGTTTCCCAAACAAAATTTTTATATATGAGACCGAGGGTGTAAATTAACACAATTTGAAGAAATAGTTATAACAGTTTTTGTATTTTTATTTATTTAAACCTGCATGTATATTTCTTTGTGGGTGTACAAATATATTGAAATAAGTTATTCTCACAAATTATGTGTTTTTTTCTTACTCGTACAACTCAATGTTTTGATCTCTACATTTCAATTGAGTGCAATAAATTGAAACTGAAACTATTCAGGAATCTACAGTTTGAGTTCATTAGTGAGTAATATCAAGTGACATCTATGTGTGACATTTTACCAGCGAACTGTGTACTACGGAGTACAGTTCACTGCATTTAAATGACTTTCACGGAGACCTATAAATTATGAACAGAAACCATTAAGTATTATATATCTATAATCTATGTCTGTGGCAGAAACGAAACAGATAAACAAGAAATACCTCACAACTCATAAAATGATTTTAATTTATAAATTAATAATCATTCTCGTGTAAGATATTTTATAGTTAATGGAAAATAATTCATATTTTACTCGGATGAAATGCAATTAAATAATAAGTAACCTTCTTTACACCACAAAAGGATCCAAGACTTAAAATTTACATGCCTTTTACTTTGACTTGCTAAAAAACATGTACTTAACTATATTATTTTATATTTTAATTAAAACTCAGGTATCAAATTCTAACTGTGGTTGCCAATTAAGCAGAGAGACTGATTCATGTGGAGATAATCCTGCAGCTAAGTACTTCAAGGATGTAAATGAAGATTTCAATGATGGGGCCCAAACCCCACATAAAGTAAACATTGAAGATATGGCACTTATTAAAAGAAACACTTTTACAATGGGTACTGATAAACCAGTTTTTGTGTCAGATTATGAAGGACCAGTGCGTAATGTAACTGTAGCAACCTTTTACTTGGATGCACATGAAGTTTCAAACATTCAATTCATGGAATTTGTTGAACAAACAGGCTACAAAACAGAAGCTGAAGTTTTTGGTGACAGTTTCATCTTTGAAATGTTCATATCCAAGGAGGAACAGGAAAAACACAAAGATTATAGAGCTGTCCAGGCCCCATGGTGGATAAAAATGATGGGAGTATCATGGAAGCATCCTGAAGGACCCTTGTCTGATATAAAAAGTAGAGAGAAAAAAGAATTATATTTACTTACTCTTACCTAACCCTTTTCTATTTTTTACACAGACAGAATGGACCATCCTGTAATACATGTCTCATGGAATGATGCAGTTAAATATTGTAGTCATGTGGGGAAAAGATTGCCTACTGAAGCAGAATGGGAAATGGCATGCAGAGGAGGCCTACATCAAAAGCTTTATCCTTGGGGAAATAAATTAATGGCAAAGGGACAACATTGGGCAAATATTTGGCAAGGCGACTTCCCTCAAATTAACACAGCAGAAGATGGATATATTTCAACATCACCCGTTGTCAGTTTTCCTCCCAACAAATTTGGACTGTATAATATGGCTGGAAATGTTTGGGAATGGACCCAGGATTCTTGGGCATCAGATACAGTAAGATTTTTAACACTGTCAATTCTATCATTTTTAATTATATTCAGTATATTTTCTTCTCAGGATTTGAAAGTTAAAAAAGGGGGTTCTTTTTTATGTCACGAAAGTTACTGCTGGAGATACAGGTGTGCAGCTAGATCACACAATACTGCAGATACATCAGCCAGTAATTTAGGTTTTCGATGTGCAGCTGATGCAATGAAAAATAATCTTTAATCTTGCCCTTTGATTCATTGAACGATAATAACTAAGACAATAATGTGCTTCAGTATTAATACTAAAGCATTATTATACTTTAAAACGCAAATCTATAATTTTTAAATTTCAAGTAGTTAATTGCCAGTGGAATGTATCTATTCGTGAATGAACAGAAACGCATTTTTATAATAATTGTTAAAGTACTTAAGTTTTGTTGTTTGAAGTCTTCCGCTTGCATGTATTGTTAAAAAATCAGAAAACCTGATATAATAGGAAAATATATATTTTTTGCAAGATTCGCTTTACATTCTTCTTTTTAATTGTAATACATAGTAATGAATTTAATGGCAAAAGATCACATTTTGTGTAAAAGCAGTACATTTCTTAGGATTTTCTTACAGCTTTTTTGAAAACAAGCTAAAAATAATCTTCGCCTTATTACACTTAAAAATAAGCGTGGAATGTCTTAAAAAAGTATAATAATTAAAACCAAAGTGTAAGTTACAGTTTAATCTTACTTAAATGAGCTTTATGCTATTAATTAAAAAAAAATTGTACACCATAGCCCCACAAAAAAAAACAACAAAGTAGGAAAAACTACTAATTCAACAAGATTTCACTCATCCTTCGTTTTAATAACTGTTTTTCTTGGTACTTATCACAAGAGTTGATTAGGGATCTTTTGTAGTCGTTGTGATCTTGTCTAAAACGTCTTGACACGTTTCCTTGAGTACCTGGGGCACTGGCACAAATCGATAAAGCAGATAACATCCCAAAGTTAGAACAGACACCCTAACCGTTATTTTCAATATTTTCCATGAGGTGGAAGGCGGCGGAACGGTCAAAATTGCATCCACATAGGGCCGCTGATCGATGTTCCATAGTTTTGTTATACCCATTACATGACCCAAACCCACCACACCCACGACTCTTAGAGGCTCCATTACATTCTCCAAGTGAGCTAAAGATTAGTAAAAACCCAGGAAATGAAAAATGAAATAAATCAAAGATATAAAGAATCCTTACTCTTGGGTTGTAGTTTCAGGGTAGCTGCCATTTGCAATGAATGCGTTAGGTAAACATCGCGTTCGTCTACAAAGACTTCACCCAAAGCAGGATACTGACCAGACATCTCTGCCAGAAGCTGCTCTAACATGTCGCGTTTTTTGGTACGTTCTATTTCTTCTTTGCTGTAACAGTAATGCTCGTTTTTTGGTTCCTATTTTTCAAAATTGAACAATTCCAAGTTATTTACCTAATTGGCCCTTTAGTGGTTAAAAGATGCCATGCCAATTTAATTGTTTGAAACCAAGATAATTTTGCTAATGCTCTCTGGAGAGTTATTTGAATAGGCCTGTCTCCCAAATGTACTCCACAATTTTGCAATTTTACTGCCTAAAATGTATGTAATTTATACATGTGTTAAAAAAGTATTTTCAAAGTAGAACAATTAGATATGTGACACCTCTTTGAATGCAGCCCTAAACTCTCCCCCAGGGGCCATTCCTATTTCTCTAGTAAGATGGGAATTCATGTTTAATAAAAGTAAATACATAATTCCATTATAAACCCCATTGCTTCTTATGGTAGAAAGTATTCTTTGCATATCAATGTTCTTTGATTCTTCCAAAATTGTTTCTTCATCAAATGACAAGATGCTTGTTCTTGCTTTGCATAATTCCAACATAACAATATGAGGCTGAACATTTCTAATCACCTAAAATTTTTTGTCTGCATTATTAAACAAAATATGACAGAGATGCTACTGCATTAAACCTTAATAACATCTTCCTGAGATTCTTTACTAAAGTGTGCCGTACCAACAAGATAAACTTTTACTCCAGTAGAAGGATGCTTTAGTAGGGTAACAGTTTCTGGCAAATTATTATCAAAATCTTCCAAAGATCTGTTCTCATTAGACTCAGTTGATGAAACATCACTTTCGCCTCCTAATAATTCTTCAAAATTTTCGCTTTTTTCGGAACTTTTCTCTGAATCTGAGCCTACTTTGACCGTACTCTCTGATAAAACTAAAATAGAATTATTTTAGTCTACAGATTAGTCCTATTCCAAAGTTTGTTTGCTCAATGAGACTACTTTCTTACTAAATTCGGCGGACGTATCCATGTTACGCTTAATAAATTAATATATACAAAGGGAACTATTATAAACTATTCAACACAGCAACAAAAATATCATAATCAAACAACTAAAACTACTAATCTATTGATAAAATCTACTGTGTAGGAAAACCAAATAAAACAATTTTGGTTTCTCGTATGACGTTTGTCTTTTTGACATTTTGTAAACATTTGACGAAACTGGCTAAATACACGGTAGCGTAGCTGTCATCTAAAAAATCATTATTTTAAGTCATAATTTTATCTATGGTTGTAATCTATGAACATAATCTTATTTTAATCTGTGATTTTATTTGAAATTCTATTTTTGTTATCGACTGACAAACGTATGTACATATATTTACCTAAATTTACGCAATGTTCATTTATTCATACTACCACTAATTAATTAAAATAAAACAATAAAGATGGTACGAATATTGGTAAGTTTAGGAAGTCTTATTATTCTCTCTTAAAATTATGACAAAATATCTTAATTGTTTTTCAGTTTGGATTACTCGCTGGTCTCTACGCCGGTGTCTACTTAGCACAAAACTTCAATATTCCGAGAGCAGATGAACCAAAAGCTTTAGTAGACAAAATCAAAGACTTTTTAGAACAATATAAAAAACAACGATAGCGATTTTGTGCTTTTTTTATTTCTCTTATTAATTATACAATATAGTATGGAATATTTAACTTAATACAAAACCTCCTCCTAAATACTCTTGTCTTTGTTGTGGATCAATAAATGCTAACCAGTCACTTGAATGAGTAGGTAACAGTCCCATACTTTGACATTTATAAAGTGCTAAACCAATATTTATAAAATTACCCAAAATATAAACAATCTTCTGGCCTATAGCACTAGAGTTTTCTATTAGTTTAAACGTGCTGTTGACAGAAAACAGGGCCTGTATCGGTCGCATGAAGAGCATTCCCACCATCATTATTGGGAAAATTGATATGGAGTTTCCTGCCATGTACATAATAAACAGATTCATTGGAACTTGTTTTATAGGCCCTAAAGCCAATTCCCAAGACTTTTTGAAAAGTAAATGACTTGTATCTACTTTCTTTGTAATTTCACTACTGCTGGAAATTGCTGAACTACTGTAAGCAGGAGGAGAAGCTAGGAGTGTATCGTTGAGAACATTTAAACGATTATTCCTGTAAAACTATAAATGTAATACCTTCTTTTTTATTCTCAATCAGTTAAAATTACCTTGTTGAATCCAAGCTCCACTTTAAACGACGATTTGTTTTGTTAGACATTTTTATAAACGGTGCTTCTCGGTTTCCAACACGTGATTTATTTAGATTCGGAAGGTAAATATTTATTAACCTTTTATTAACATTTATCTTTTGTTAATAATTCTATATAAAAATCAATACCATAGATAATATCAACACATTAATTTAATTATGGTGACTGTAACTAAATAGACGTAGACGTTGAAAATATTAAATAAAAAGTTAGAGCTTTGGACATTGATATTTACGGAAATGATTTTTGTACNTATCCGGAAAAGTATTGACGAGTTATCCAGACCTATGATACAATCTTTATGAGACTATGACGTTTGATGTATAAATGATTTGTCTATGATAAATTATGTATAACCTCGAAACTTTTGAAATTTGGTACTAGCTGCTAGTTATATAAATGAATTGATTAAAAAAAGAAAAAAGTCAAATACTTTTAAATGAAAATCAGCTATTCGCGCAACAGACAAGAAGGTCAATATAATAGGTTTGTTTTATTAAAATAGTCGCTTTATAATTTTTTAGGTTTGTGTTGTGCATCATTTTTTGGCATTCACAAAATCCCATGAATAATTATTTTGTGAAAGAGTAAGTAACATAACTTTACCATGTTTTAAAAGATGTTTCAACAATGAAAGCTAAATTTTTATTTTTAAGAAACTTAACAGTTGACAATGAAGGAGAACAGCATTATGAACCCAGGTTTCACATACAACAGAAAAAGAATTGATAGCTTTAGTACAATTAATGAGAAACCTGTAGATGACATATCCCTTGAATTCTTTTACAAACCACATACCATAACACTTCTGGCCATTTCTATAGGAGTGGTAATTTATACTGCGTTTGTCAGGTATGGGTTATTAACCGTCATTGTATAATATAGTATGGTTTGAAGCAGTTTCTTTGCTACTAAATTATAATTAGTAGAATGCACTATCAATACAAGAATATTTGAAGCAATGATATTGCATAATCTTACTGACAATATTTACAATACACCAGTTTTTTTTTTATATTATATTTTGCATCTGTGGTGAAATTGTTTTAAACTTTGTGATATAGTGCAAAAGACTCAAATTCACGTTTAATATCATTTGAAATTATCTTAAATTTATTTACGTTATATACAGTATTGGATTTAATTTTTATATTCCTTTTTACTAATTGCAGAGATAATGGTAGCATTGAAAAGAATATTTGGGATGGTTTCCTGTGCTGTGTGTTTTTCTTTCTTATCATTTCTGTGCTGGCTTTTCCAAATGGTCCCTTCACAAGGCCCCATCCTGTTATATGGCGAATGGTTTTCGGTTTAAGTGTCCTTTATTTAATGGCGCTTTTATTTCTCATTTTCCAACAGACCCAGACGGTTCGTAACATCCTCTTGTGGCTTGACCCAAGTCTTGCCACATTCCACATAGACATGGAGAAGGAGTACGGTGTGAACTGCTCTGATATTACCGTGGAACGGATATGGAGTCACCTAGACGTGTTTGCTTTAGGCCATTTTCTTGGTTGGATGTTCAAGGCAATTTTATTCAGACATGCAGGAATTTTATGGGCAATTAGTTGCATGTGGGAGATAACAGAGATTGCATTCGCCCATCTTTTACCCAACTTTATTGAGTGCTGGTGGGACGCCTGGATCTTGGATGTTCTTCTTTGCAACGGTTTGGGAATTTGGTGTGGACTTTTCATTTGTAGAAAGTTGGAAATGAGGGAGTACAAGTGGGTTGGCATAAAAGACATCCAGTCAACCACAGGAAAAATAAAACGCGCAGTCTTACAATTTACCCCTGAGAGTTGGACGTCGGTTCGTTGGCTGGACCCCAAGTGCTCCTACATGCGGGTGATAGCGTTTACGCAGTTGGTATTATTTTGGCAGGTGTCTGAACTTAATACCTTTTTTTTAAAGCATGTTTTTGAACTACCGCCTTCTCACACTTTGGTAACCGCTAGATTGATTTTAATCGGTGTTATTGTGGCCCCATCCGTGAGACAATACTACACGTATTGTACAGACACCCAGTGTAAAAGACTAGGAACTCAGTGCTGGGTGTACGTATGCATCATGGTATTTGAAGCTCTTTTGTGTATTAAACATGGACATGGACTCTTTCAACAGACCCATCCTGCCAACATAATCTTGTGGTTTCTGATACAATTCGTAATTTCAGTACTGTGCGTTATAGGATGCGTTTTTTGGAACAAATACTTCAATGCAGGCGAAATTTCTCGAGAGGCAAGTCCTATTAAATATAAAGGGAAAGTTAAATTTGGTTCTGGTTCAAAACAAGACTAAAGAAGTAAATAACTTTGGTAGTTTTTCATATCAAAGACTTGTGCATTGTCCTCAGATAATTTCTAGTCATTCTTGACATTTGTATTTAAATGTATTAGTCAATTTAGAATTATAACTTGATTTACTCTCTCTTCGTGAGACTGTTGCGTAAATCTTTGCATACCATGAATGTTATTGTTAAATATTTCTTATGTACGATTACGACATTTTTTTATACCAAAAAAGTAGTATTATATAATGCTAAAGAGTTACATTTCGCAATTATTAATAAAACAAATATCGGAACATAGGTTTTCTCGGTCGGAATCCGTGGTAGAATTATGATTAATACTTCATTTAGACCCACTACCCTTCAACCTGAATCATAATTCTACCAAGAAAAAAATCGTAAAAATTAATTAATTACATAATGAAATGGCAGGGTAGGCACTTAATCAATTTTTATTTAAAAAAAGGGAACTATGTAGAAAAACATTAAAATTAAGTTTAGTATATTCTCTGTTTGTTGAATTACTTTTAAGTAAAGAACTTTTTTTTGTAAATTAATTCTCTTTTGATAATGTGGTTAAAAAGTAGCCCTTAAATTGTTGATAAAATAAAATTTAATTTAAATGTAATTAATCTACAACTTATACACTGAGTAAATGTAAAAAGACAAATTCGTTGTATATAATTAAAAAAAAGTTTATAGAAAAAGTATGTTTTACTGAAATTTAAATAAAAAAAAACTAAGTCCTTCCGTGATCAAGTCGTTGTTAAAGCACTTTCTTTTTTCTTTTTAATTTTTTTTATTCTTATACAGGTATTGTTATTTTTTTTTTTTCTTAATTGTTTGGTTGCGAACTTTTAATTGGTCTAAAATATCGTTACCTTCAATTTTAAAGTAAATGTAAAACCATGTTGAAGCGGTGAAAGCAAATATTGCATATATTGTTTAAAAGAGGGTAATTACGACTGTATAGCTATCTTTTAAGTTCCTGTTTTCTTAGCTAGGTAAGTATATGTACAGTTAGAAAGTAGGTGGGCGTAACCACGGCCACCCTCGCGAGATCCACTGTCCAGCCCCTGTAAATTCCGCGATCCAAAATCAACGCTCCAACTTGTTTTGTAGTTCTGTGTCCTTGACAGGAATAGGTCAATAGTTCACATTTTTGTTATTTGCTGATTTTACTTTTTAGATTATGCATTTAATTGCCTTCACATTTTTTTTAATAAACGCAGGAATAGAGCTATCCGATGTTTGTGTCCCTAGAGGCCCGGTTGTGACGTTTCCTTGGAGGATAATCTCTAGCAAGAGGGGTATGAAGGGAGGACGTTGGTTGTGGCGGCTGACGCCCCTTGGCCTGCGGCTAAAAAAGGACAGAAATATCTAACGTACTAAATAACAAAATTATTATTTTTCTATTTGTCTTGTTATAGCTAAATATATAAACTAAAGGAGGTTGATAATGCAGTTTAATAAAATACATTAGATTAACGACAGTGACTTCAGTTAAATAAACTAACTGTAAAAATATACTTCCATGTTCAGTAAAAGATTTAGAGCACGCTTGCGCTGACGTGGAGTAAAATGAAAGAGAAAATTGCACGCTTTCAAAGCCTGGCCCCATGTGTTAACGAATGGCGTGGTTTGAGAAACAGTTGCCCAACCTGCAATAACGTGCATGGAAGAACCGGGCCTAAACCAGCCTAAATTTTGCACGCCCTAAAGTGTTACTTTACATCCTTATCGTGCATTCAAAAGTTGCGGTATTCATAAAGTGCCTTCTTAAAAATATTACAGAAATTGTTTACAGTGCGGTGTTGCATAAAACGTTATCGATTTCAAGGTAACTGAAGCCTGGTTCACAACAGACAGAGAAACACAAAGTGAAGTGAACATGTATGGAATTTATTTAAATTTTGAAGAATAATGACTACAGAAGTGACATCTCTAAAGACAGAATACGTCCAGAACAACTCACAGGTAAAGTTTTTTTCTGTTGTGCTTGTTAAATTACCGCGTTTATGGAATTTTGTTACCTTAGGGCGGGCAAGTGCGTAGTGGGTTGTGGGAGTTGCTTTGTGGTTCCAGCAATAGATAGGAGGCCGAGCATTGGCTCCGGTTAGGGTCGGAGCCGTCTTTATAAAATAAGATTGTGCTTACAGTTCTTTTATCGAAGTTTTAAAGAAAATCTTAACATATCTTTCAGCAATTGTAGCAGTCCACGTATGCAAGTCGTAGGTATTTATTATTTTTAAATAAATACTAGATAAAAGTCATAACCTCATAACATAAAAAAATGTTTTACGTCACAAATACGTCTATTCAGCATGCACATTCTAATATTTGAAATAGGTATTTACGCAGTAGGTAGATACATGTGCATTCAAAATGAATTTGAATTGAGACAAAGCAAATCTATTATTAATCATAACATGTTAATTAATTTTATAGATACCTACGGAAACCGAATGCATTACGCAAGCGCATACATTTAAAATTACGTCGATTTAATTATGCAATTTTGGTTGCCTACCTATTTAATTGAAAATATTGTTGGTATATATTTATCTAATTCTACCAAAAAATTTCATTTTAATCTAAAAGACACATATTATAATGTCAGAATGAAAGTAGGTGTAAATAATACAATGGTGTAATAGCAAAACTATGCGATTTTCTTTAAAATTTACGCATTTCATTACCTCATATTTAACTTTAGTATTTTCTGCGTATACGAGGTTCAATCAAATTTGAATTAAACGGTTCGTAAACAATCAGTTGCAGGTGTATTGTACATCATGAAATTTACAGTTATTTAATTTTGTTAAGTATTTATTGCTGAGCAAGATCGATTAATACCTAGAAAGATGCTTTACGTATTGTTTTTCAAGTCACCCCTATGGATTTATTGTCTAGAGTATAGAAAGATAAGGCCACGCCCTTGTATGTTAACAGGAATTAAAGCCAACCCCTTCGCCCCTCGCTCTCTTGGCGGCAACTTGTAGCAAGATCGGTGCCACCTCGAACGAAACCGTCAACAATACCAACAGTATCGATAGCACACCGCCCACGATGACCAGCACGCCCAATTCGATCAAAAATCTTCCAGTTACTGGAAGTCCGCAGGTGGTGAGTGTGCCTGTAGGAATACCTCAGCAGCTTCAACAACAGCTGCTTCAACAGCAAGGGGCGCAGCTGGTGAACGCTGCCGCCGCCGGTCAGAATCTCGCCTACAACGTCATGCAACCAATGCAAACAGTCACTGTAGATGGGCAGGAGGCCCTATTCATTCCGGCCATGTCATTGACAGGTCATTTTTTATCCTGGTATTTTTTTATATTAGAATCTTATCTACCTATTATTTTTTTTCTTAACTTAACAACTAAATGACTTTTCCGATCATGTAATCAAATAATTTTTACATTTTTATTTTACACAGGAATTTCGATTATTATGTAGACAATGTACGGTCGCATACAAAAATATTGTGCATATACTCCTAGCGGCATCATTTTATATGAGCTGGTTTAGACATCGCGGCGTATTTCTTATCTTCGTCTGGCAGTAGCTTTCCCATTTCCATTTATTTATTAGGTATGTGAGATTTGCAATAAATCCCATACTGCTAAGAAGAGATAGCTGGTCCTTTGGGATATGCTGCCTGTCCATACACTTTTTACATTGAATGCTACTTCTAGGATTATATATATGTTCTGAGATTTTAAATTATAAAAGTTCATAATTTTGTTTGTACAGGGGGACAACAACCGCAGCAAATCTTTAGCCCTAGTCAAATTATTCGATCTCCTGGAGTTATACCCACCAATTTGCAAAATATCCAAACGGTGCAGTTATCAAACGGTCAAAGTGTCGCAGTTAGGCCGTCAATTCCCCAAGTGGTGCAATTTCCGACAATGCAACAGACAATACCTGTGCAAGTTCCAATATCGTCGTCTAATGGACAAACGATCTATCAGACAATCCATTTTCCAGTACAATTAGCAACGGTGCCGAATATTATACAGACTCAACAGGTAGTTCCCCAGATTGCAAGCATCTTGACGCCGAATGGTCAGTTACAGCCGGTGCAGATCGCGACATCTATGGCCGCCCAACCTGCTCAACAAACGCCACAAACGCCCACTTCTGTTGCTACCCAAAACGTCACTGTTCAAGCAGCTGATACTAATGCTCAGCCGCTTACATTTACCGGTGCAAATGGGCAGCAGTTTACTGTTATTCCCGCCACTAATTTGCAACAACTTAGGGGTACAAACATTGGGAATGTAATTCAAATGCCTAATATTCAAACTATCCCTACCATTCAAAATATACCGGGTAAGTTAGTTTATCGTCAGCCATTTTTACCATATTATTTTCATGTTGCTTTAGACACTATCGTTGGGTGACGTCACACATAAAACGTCAGATTACAAAATGGCCTTAATTATGGCAGAAACCGATGAAATGTTTTTATGTTTGTTTTCGTAAATTATTCTTGTTAACTCACCAAAGAATTAACTATGTTAAAAACTATATAACTCTATAAACCTGCTTTCGATGAAACACTGTAATATGGCACAATAAGTGTAACTTAACCTTTTTTAATTATCAGTATGAGAAAAAAGCCAAAGAAGACTATAAAATTAAGCCGTAAGCAGTTTTCATAAAAGATCATTTAGTACGTAATTTTTTGTCTGTCTTTAGGAATTGGGAATGTTCAAGTAATTACCCAACCAGCTGCCCCTCAATTGGCAGTTGGTCAACAGTTGCAACAAGATCCTAATGATCCTAGTAAGTGGCAAGTTTTACAGAACATTACCACTACATCTCAACCTGTCTCGACACCTCTCACACCAGGAGTTGTGGTAAATACTTCATTGGAACAAAACTCGACTACACAAACCAGTGATTCGTTACAAGATGGTTTGCAAAAGCAAAGAGTACGACGTGTAGCTTGTACATGTCCCAACTGCGCAGAGGGTGAGCGGCATTCTGATCGAAAAAAACAACATATTTGCCATATACCAGGATGCAATAAAGTTTACGGTAAAACTTCTCATTTAAGAGCCCACCTAAGGTGGCATACTGGTGAAAGACCATTTGTATGTAATTGGTTGTTTTGTGGAAAAAGATTTACTAGGTCAGACGAACTGCAGAGGCATAGAAGAACACATACAGGAGAGAAGAGGTTTCAATGTCCTGAATGTAGTAAGAAATTTATGAGATCAGATCATCTTTCAAAGCATATCAAAACACATCAGAAGCAGAGAATAACAGTAAGTACTGTTATAATTAAAATTTTAGTCTTGGAGATAAACTTTAAACATTAATAGTATTTGTATAAATTTTGTTTTACTAAATTGTTATTAATAATTCTGATTTTTTTTACAGCGACAGAATGGAGAAGTTAATGAACCAGGAGAGGAAGAACATTGGGAACAAGGTCAACCTGAAGAGGACAACAAGATTATTCCTCAGGTTTGGATAACTGATGGTAAAAAAGTCAAATATGCTATAACACAGCTGAACTATTCACAAGTATGTTGAAAGTTTTGTTGATTGTGTAAGCTTGGTGTAATTCAGTTTTTGTTTAGGAGGCAGCAACATCTACACAATCAGCATCTTCTGATAGTTCAAGCAATGAAGAGAAAATGATGATAACAATAAGCACATCAGAAGCAGATGAATTAATCATAGCAGATCCTTTAGACACGTGAAATAATCTAATTTGTAAGATATTAAAGTAATTTATGTAAAAATAAGAAAGAACATTTATTATATGAAAACATTTTTGTTAATTGCTTTTTTTTTTTCATAATCTTTCCTATAGAAACTTTTTTATTTCTTTTATAATAAATATTCATTTAGTTGATACTTAGTCCAATGATATTTTTAGTAACAGCAAAGGCTGTGAAAAAGTAAAATGACCAAATATAACTTCATTACCACAATTTTATTATAAAAATGGAAAAATAAATAATTTATATACCTAATTTCTTATACTATGTACTTCAACCATATGTTTCTTATAGCCTTCTCTATAATCAAAGGATTCGGGGCATAGATGACAACAGTACATGTTCGTCAAATCTGAGTGTACCAGTCGTACATGGTATTTTAGGGCTGACTGATTCGAGTAAATTTTACCACAGTGAGGACAATTCCCACATTGAGAACTGTGATGTATAGTCTCTGAAAGACTCCTTGCCATTAGAGAAGAAAATTCATGTGCACCCTGTGAATTTTCTGGACTTTGTTCAATACTAATTCCCCCATCATTTTCACTTTTAATACTTTTAGGTAGATTTTCTATTATGAGATCATACGCTTTAGCAGTGGCAGTTGAAGGACTGTCTAGTTTTTGTTTAAATACATGATGATCTAAATCCATCTGTTCTGAAGTCTTTCTCGGCATAATAGGAGATTCAAGTGGCTGTGCAAGAGTGACTATGGGCTCCATGGGAAATGAAGTTGACGATTTAGCTACAAAAATATACATATACTCAGGTCATCACTATCAAGTACAAGAATAAATGAAAGCTATTGGTACCTGGAAGAGACATTAGAGATCTTTCTAATATACTTGGATGTGAGTCTTTACATTCTAAAGCAGCCTCTAAAATTGATCCTTGTGAATTTTTTTCATTTTCAATGTTTTCATTGTAATCAAGAGAGCCACTTTTACTGTCATCATCTATTTCTGCCTTAATTGATTCGACTTGAACAACTTCAAAGTTTTCATTTGGTGATTTGCTTTTTTCAAATTGACCACATAATTTTGCAGGTGGACTATTTGTCAGGGATTTTGTTAGTTTATGTTTTGATAACAACTTGGCTTTCTTTGTTAATCTATCTGGTGATGTAACAACTTTTGTCTTTTTATGGGGTTTAGCAGATGCATTACTTAAATCTGCAATGTATTTACTTCGATTTTCAGATACCCCAATTAAACCTGATACTTGAAGTAGTTCTGCAGTTTGTAAAAAAGACTGTAACTGACTCTGAGAAACAAGAACTTCACCGTGATACATAAAATTTAGGATTGCTAGTAAATCAATGTAATGTACATCTTTTAAAATAACTATGGGATGAGAACATGGATTTTCCTACAAAAAAATATTTAATACTGCTGCAGTTTACTTCAGTTAAAAACTGTGGTAGTTTTATATTCAATATGTTATGTATGTATGGATATAGCAGATGATGACATACCTTGAATACTGTTCGAAAGTATGGACTACAAGCTGATAAAATAATCTTGTGTGCTTTTATACTAACACCTTCACACGTTAGCGTTACATCCACTAAATCCTCTGTATTTTGTAAACTCTCGAATGCAGAAATAATACTGTTTTGGAAATTGTTCCACTTTAAGCAGAATTGTTCCATACTCGTTACATTACTTTTTTAAAAATAATAACATAACCGTACCCAACAAAAATCATAAAAAAAATATTTTAAATACTTATAAATGGAAGACTTGCATGAAAATAAATAAATAAATAAATAAATAAAATTAATAAAACGTGTCAAATTTAAAACGTCAACAAAGTTTGTCATTCAATTTATAGATGTCGCTTCCACGTCAAATTTGATATATTATTATGTATAGCACATCTATGGTATATGGATTATAGAATTTGAAGTAATAAAATAATAATAATAAATCAATCTCATACTAACGATCATATACTATGATTATGACCGGCTTATCTATGATGATCACATACCATCCCATTTCTCACAAATACATGTCAGTAAATCTATGTGTCAGTCTATGGTGTCAGTAATCTTATCTATGTTAAAATGTATTATTATATTCTATGATTATATTCAATTTGTGTTAATGGTGTTAATTTTCAAATTTTCTATGGAATAGACTGATAAACGGTTTTAGATTAGGGTTGATAACTGGTGATAATAGCAATTGTTAAATTGCTTCCCTTATAATTTTTATTTGATAGTGTGCGATAGTGTATATTTAGTAACGTTTATAATAAGAGCTATGGCAAATAAAGGTATCAAACTGGGTATTGCATATTTGAATGTTTAATTGTTATTTTCCTTGACATCTACTTTTTAATTTAGATATAAAATGGATAAATCAGATTAATACAAATTTAGTAGCTGTTACTAAGCAAGCTAACAAGATAATATCGTCACGAACATTAGAAGGAGACCATCATGCAGCATGGATACTAAAAGCCCTAACTTGTATTGACTTAACTACTTTAAGTGGAGATGATACCCAAAGTAATGTAGCAAGACTTTGTTTAAAGGTAAGATTCTAATACTGCGTTTCATAGGAATTACAAATGGGCACTTACGTTACTGTAAGAGCTTTTGCTATAACTTGGTTGAATTATAATGCTTTAGTTGATATAATGTGCAAACTATTTGGTAGGCTAGCAATCCTTTACCAGACGATCTTGTCAAAATGCTTGATTTAAACAGTGATAAATATTCATTTACTACCAGTTCAGTTTGTGTTTACCCATTAAAAGTTGAAAGTGGAGTTAGAGCTTTGCAAAAATTAGGAGTTTATGATAAAATAAATGTAGCATCAGGTAGGAATTAGTAAATATCAGCTTTTTGTAAGAATATTAATGCTTTAGGTAAGTAGACTTGCACTTGTTTGTGCCTTTGGTCTCCATAATATTTTATGAAAAATGTGTTGTTATTGTAGTAGCTGCAGGTTTTCCTTCAGGTCAGACATCATTAAAAGTGCGCTTAGAAGAAATAAAGTATGCAATTGAAAATGGGGCTAAAGAAATTGATATTGTCATTGATAGGGCTTTAGTTTTACGAGAAGAATGGGATAAACTTTATGATGAAATTCAACAAATGAAAACTGCTTGTGGACCAAATGTTCACATGAAAACAATTTTAGCTACAGGAGAATTAAGCAATTTAAATAATGTATGAAAAATATGATATTTTACCAAATTATTTTTCATATTGATTAAGTTTGACTTTAGATTTATAAGGCTTCTTTGGTTGCCATGATGGCTGGTTCTGATTTTATTAAAACTTCAACAGGAAAAGAAAGTGTAAATGCTACAATTCCTTTTGGAATTGTGATGTGTAGAGCTATTAGTGACTATCATGAAAGAACCGGTTATAAAGTGAGTTTTTCTTGGGAAGAACAGTTTGATTTTTATTTTTTATAAATGCATATAAATAATTAGGTGGGTCTTAAGCCAGCAGGGGGTTTAAAAACTTGCCAAGATGCTGTAAACTGGTTAATTATGGTAAAGGAATTGTTAGGGGATGAATGGTTGTCTCCAAAGCTATTTCGTTTCGGAGCCTCTGGACTTTTAGGCAATATAGAACAAACTTTATATAAATACGCTACTGGCAATATGTCAGTGTCATATGAATTTGCCTTATAAATATTGCATTTAAGCTTATATTTATTTAAAATGATTTGATAAATAAAAAGAGGCTAGTGCTTATTGTTGCAAATAAAATAATTTTTTAATTAATAAAAATTGTTTTTACTTGTTTCACAATAGCACCCTTCTNGTTGTTAATCACCCTGTATATATTTGTTTTATTTGCTTATTTCGTTGCAAGTTTGGCATTATTAAGAAGTAGGAGTAGGTATTTCTTAAAGTGAGCATTACAATTTCAATTAACATCAATAATGATATTAATTCAGTTATAATTCAGTAATTTATAGTTTAAAAAATGTTGGTTTCTGGAAAAACAGCCGGGTGAGTTATTTCACTGTGATTATATATTTTTATTAAATGTTACTCGAAAACATATAAAAACGTACAAATCAATTTACAAACTAATATTAAGACTTTAACATAACAATGGTGCTACATATTTATTTACAGTTATTGCATAAATTCATAAATATATTATGGAACCCATAAGTTTTTATTTCTCTTCTTAAAAGAGTCTCAAGAGTGTATAATATTTTTCGAATTTTTGATTTATCTACATACATTTGCTTTGAGCTTACATGCTCCATTAATAAATGGATAATTACCATCGACACTATTAAATTCATTTACGAATAAATAATTGTAATAGTAAATATTTGTAAAATATTAATATATTAAATAGAAAATATTTAAATTAAATAGATAGATTGTATCTATGTATTTAATTTAAACATTCGATTTCATTTATGTAATTAGTGGTGAAACAAAGAAATAAAAAAATGATCTTTGGTTATATTAGTAAAAAAGTAAGACTACTGGACAGTTATACGTGTACATTAATGTGGTTATTTTGTATTAACTTTTCCAAAATTTTCTGTTTCTGCAATGAATCCTTCTTTAGGGCTTGCATTGTAATGAACCATTCTTAACTTTCCTCGTTTATCATAGTAACCATAATGTCCCTTTACATGCCCAAGTTTATCCCTTTCTTCGTACCTAAAGTGTCGATTGCGACTAAAATTCAAAATAAATTACTATATTGATTAGCTAAATTATTTAATTAAGTACTGAGATGAAAATTTAAGCAACAGGATTTTATGTTGATATTTATGGTTTTGTTTTCTTTATTTTTTTTATTTTTGATAATGTTCACATTAATTTATCAATAATTATTATGTGAATTAGAAATCCAAAAAATAGTGCGTTAATTGTCATATTACTACTATTAACTTTTTTGGGTTTCTGCCGTGTGGGTTCTGGGTTCAACCCTGTGCTATCGTTTGCAGTTCTTCGGGCCGACCTGAGTTCACACGACAGAAATTCAAAGAAGTCAATAGTAATACAATGATTAGTAATCATTGTGAAAGCTTAAAATCATTCAATAGCATGTTAATTGTTAGTACTGTTTGAAATTAGTTTACCCCTCTCCTGTGTCAAAGCCCCATTTGTAGCTTAAAGGCCCGTCATAGCCGTGCATTTGAAATTCGACCCTATCTTTAGGAGCTCGTCTGTTATGGTGATAACCATTCGGAGATTTTATTTCATTGCTGTTATTTTCCGCAGAATTATATTCGGTTCCCAAAGAAGCAGTATTATGAATTTCTCCATTAAAATCGAAACCCTGGCTGAAACCGTTTGTGGACTCTTCAGCAATCGGCTCCTTGCCGTTATTACTATTTTGTATAGATTTTGATTGAACTGTTTTCTGTACTTTATTATTGGAAATAATCAGTTTCTTGTTCCGAGGTTTTTCGAAGTTCTGCTGGGCCTTCTGTTTCTCCTTCTGTTCCTGTTTTGGCATAGTTTCTGTAGTTACTGGAAGAAGGCCAAACTGTTGCTTGGGTTTGATCAAAAGTGGTTTTACTTTTTCATCCACTTCCGGATTATACTTTCTCGGATAGTAGTTTATTGGAGTTTCCATTTTGGTTAAGGACGACAAAACCTTGTAATAAAGGTTGGAGTCGTTGTTAGAATTCCATGGTTCCATCGAAGGAGCTTTTAATTCATCAGACGGAACGAGATTGTCCTTATTAGATTTTCCTTCAAGACTGTGAGTCTTATTAGGTAGGTGCAATTGTTGGACTTGTATAGAGGGTAATTGGATCTCTGGAATATCTAGGGGTTGTTGTCGTAAATGGTAATTTCCGTATTTCATTTGGGGCCCGGACAATTGAATGGGTGATCGTTTTATTTGTTGAAGACTTTGAAATTGGGGTTGTGCCAGTTGTTCATGTACTTTTTCAATGTTTTTCTTGTTTTGGTATCCTTTAACGAGGGCCACTTTTTTGTTTTGTGGTTTGGATTGATTTGATTTGTAGCTGGTGTACGTGGTAGATGTATATTGATTTAGAGGAAAAACGGGTTGAATGCGGTATTTATCTTTTATAGACTGAAACTGTTGAATTGGATATTCTTCGTTGTATTCCTTTACTTTGTATTGTGGTTGATCGGGTTTATGCATAATTGCTTGATATTGTGGGGCGTTAAAAAAGGGTTTAAAATGGATGTCCTCTTTGGGAGGACGAAGTGTGAGGGTTAGGGAATTCATAAGACGATAATCTTGTAGTTCTTGACATGTAATCGCCTCAAACCATAATAAAAGCGTATTCACCAGTAGCTAAAAATTGAATGTAAATTACGATATTAAGATTAAGAATTTTATTTTGGTATCGTTGTACTTTTTATTATTTATTTTCCTATTTGGATACGTGCGAAATTAAGTTAACGTTACAGGTGATTAGGTACATGTAAAAGTAAATTTACATCGATGACTGTCTAATAGAAAGTTCAGTTAATAAATTGATAAAATATTGATGCATGATATATTCAATTCTAATATTATTGACTAAGTTTTTGATTTGAATAAAAGATAGATTAAACTTGAAGGAAAATAATATTGTTAATGTAAAACACAATGTTGTTACAGTACGCATACATGAATTCTTTGAGAAACATTTAAAAGATTTCAATTTTTTCATTCAACAAATCGATTTGAGCTAAGAAAAATTTTCGCTTTTTCATTTAAACGTTAATTTTTGTTTGCTAATTTATTATTTCTTTGGTAGAAAATTTCTATGTTAAAATAAATAGCCTTTCCGTCATTTAACGACACTAGGAACATTTTTTGGAAACGTTTTAATATGAAAAAAGGTAATAATACGTTTTAAGCAAAAATACGATACGTTTTGTGGTCCAATTAGTATTAGACAAAGGAGAAAAATTATGATTTTCAATAATACACTTTCTAATAAATTTTAAGAAAGTTACTCGTTCCCATTTCAAAACTCTATAAATTATCGGTAGTAGTATCTAAAACAAATTATTCAATTTTCAGTGATAAATATTTTCAGTTTAAATTTAATTACTAAGTATTGTTTTGACACCTTCAAGCAAGTCTTTAAATAATTAAATCAGACAACTAAGAAAATGTTTGTTTGACTTTATAATTTTTATTTTTGGATTAATTATTGATATAAGATATTATGTTATTATTTTGTTTGTTATTAATTATTATGTAAATTTTTTAACGCACCCACCAAAGATTATTCTTAACAAATATATTTAAATAGAAAAACGAGCTGAAAGAGGTTGTTAAACTTGATTAAAATAATAATTTTTTGTCGTAAAGAAGCAATTCTGTATAATCAAAATTTCATACACCGTTTCAAATAACTTTAATAGGAAATCTATTACCAGGTATCGATGAAAACAAAAGTAGGTCTAAACCGTTATTAGAAGTTGACGTACATTCAAGTTCAAATTTCACTTTTAAGCTAGTTATTGTGTACTTGTTTTATAGAAAAAATTATTATTAGAAACTACATATTTTATTTATCATTTTTATTGAGAAAAAAATAGGGTAATATCTTTTTGCATAGGTATATTTTATAAAATGTCGAATCGATTATTTCATGATGAGAAAGTATTAAATTATATAAAAGCCAGTCAAAAATATTTTTGTTCTGTTTTTACTAATTTTAACGAGTTTTAATTTTTTTTACATACTGTAAAATTTAACATAATATATACATATATAATGTAGTAAGAATATTTTTTTTTCAAAAATATTTTTATTGAGCTAATGAATCTATAATTTTTTTTTGAAATAATAAATTTAACTTACTAGAAGGAAAAAAATGTTCATATTGGTAGCCTCTTCTACAGCCCTTGCACGGTTTGTTCACCGCACTCACGTTTATATACAATAACTAGAAACTAGAATAAGTCGGTTATATTGAGCTTTTATAAAGTTGATGGACCTCCCGCTTCTTTCAAAACCTTCGACAATTTTCGTTTACAATAATTAGTGTCATGACATTGCTTCAACAACTAATATTATACCATGTCTTGGTTCACTGCAAATACTACCTTTGTTGCTACATTTTCTTTGTAGATCAGTCGAAATATTTGTCGCTGCAAAAATTATTCTTAAAATGTTGTTTTCCATATTTAAATTGCGAGAATGGAACGATAAAACTCTTAACGATTTTTATTTAACATTAAATTTTACGGCTTTTGGAATTTATTTAAAATAATTAAATAAGGAGAGCAGCCGTTAGAATTCAGATAATAATATACTTTTAAAAGTGTTTTTTATTAATTCAAAATGTTATATAGTCTAATTTTTGTAGGAATGAGAATTTATATTAAGTTATTTTCTTTATTTGAATGGTTTTATAAAAAAAATAAATGTTTCAGCTTGTTAAATGATTACTTAACATTACAAATTAAATTAATGAATTATTTTGAATTAGAAATTCAAAGTAGGACACCCTATATTTATTAACAAATTAAATGTTATGTAGTATAGGGTGAATAGTTCATATTTATTGCTGACTTGCTGTGAAACCATGATCAAGTTTGAAATTATGTGTCGTTCTATCGGTATATAAAATTATAATTTTTTTTGTTGTTCAGACGGACGTGAAAGTGACTTACCTGTATGTATATATGTACATATTTTCATATATGGAACTTTTTTTTTTGCATCGATATTTGTTTATTTACCGAAAATATTTTTGTCTGATTTTATATATTAACACGTTTTCTATTATTGTTATTTATTTTAAGGTATTCGTAATAATAATGATAGGGTATAAAATAAAATCAAAAAAATAACCATATATCTTTTTTAATCAGAAACAGTTGAAAACACAATTACAGAAGTAAATTAACATACTTAGCATTTAACTAATTAGGCAAATCTGTAATATCTTCGTCATTCTTAGTTGTACAGAGTAGTTCTTGGTAGGTGTACTTGGGAAACACTCTTTTATATAAATTCATAAGGATTGTGTCCATGGATTTCAACTGACCATCAAAAATACATTTCATGTGTCCATGAGTTCCTAAAATCATATTCTAATTATTTCGCATATATAGGGTATACTACCTTTCATAACTGTTTTTAGTTGATATGTTAATTTTAAATACCTAAAGGTTCTTTTATATGCCCTGTCCTTCCATATTTCGTCCTTAATTTAACTGGTTTAAAGTAGATTATGTCTTCACGATTGAAAAACATGAATCGAACAACGGCTGACCTTTTGTGCACTTTGAGTGGATGTCCTGAAATATAAACGCAAATTTATTAAATAAATTAATATAAACTTACATTTCGATTTTCTTTATACCTGTTAAGACAACTCTTTTAATTATGAGACGATCAGGATCACAGTTTAGGACGCTACCTTGTGCAACAAGGACGTGTGTGCCGTCAATTTCTTTAAAACACAATACGGGGGCTGGTGGGAAACAGATAGGAGCAAAAAATGTTGCTACAACTGTTAATTCTGGTTGAAAAAACCTTTCAAACTGAAACAGAAACACATTTGAGAACAGAATTAACTACATTTCAGAGTAATTTACCTTATGTTTGTTTCCATTAGTGTGTTGACTAAAGATGGGGTTAACAGTGAATCTTCTGCAACCACACTGGAATATTAGAGTTTCTTTTGAAGCTATGGGTTTGTCAAAGGTGGATGTACGTTTTAAAACAACGTTTACTACAGTCATTTTTCGTTCGTGGGGTAGCAAACCGAATAATATAGGCGGAATTCTGGATTCGGTAACTGATAACCAAAATTCTTTTCGAACCTTACTCACGTGAACAGTTATATACCATCCTGGCTATAAAAAAAGATGATTACTTAATATTGCGGCTGCTACGATATTTAACTTGCATACCAAAGCACCGTCTTTATTTTCCAATTCTTTTATTATCCTTTTCCTCGTCCTTTCGAAACTCTGAAACTGAAAGATTCTTCCATAGTCATAAGGAAGGTTTTCCTTAGGATCCCATGAAGATGTTCTACAATAAGTCATGATTAGATTATTTTAAACAAATCAGTGTAAAATTATCCTTTTACCTAAAGCTTTCAAGTCCCCTGTACTTTTGAAATCTCACCCTCGCAGGTATATCTTGGGGCGTGTCCACTTCATCAGGAAACATTCTGTCAATTTTGGCTTGCTTAATTGTTTCGAATTCCTTTTTTTCTTCATCCATGTCCATGTCTTTATCGTACTGTTGGTCATTCACGGCCACTTCGGACTCTGTAACGTTGTCCATATTGTCTTCAGTATCTGAATAATCTGATCCGCCTTCAGACATGGCACACATATACTGTGTGCATTTAAATTCATCATCAGATTCGCTATCTTCTACCATCTCTGCATCCTCGTCGGGAATCCAGGCCGCTTGGTAATCGGACCAACCTTTGGGAACCTTTTTAACTTTCTTTATCTAAAATTTTGGAACGAAACAGCTTTAATAATTGGCTTTTTTTATAGATACTATTTACTTTTGCTTCTTTTTCAGCGTTTTTAAATTCTTCCTCGGTAGGCCATGATTGTTCTGCGTCCATAGGATCTGGGATATTTTCCGAGTCTAACAAAGTTTGTTTGTTAGGGTCTGCTCTTTCTAAAAACGTAGTTTGAACATGTTTTCCTTTAATATTGTCTGGATTTCTGAAACATTAGTATTGTTAAGAGCAAATTTGTTATGAATATTATGCACTTTGATTATATACTTTTCCTTAGTGATAATAAACGGATCTGCGGGTGCTTCGATTTGTGAAATTTGATAATCGCCTATTCCTATTATATGAACCAAATCATTTGCAGAAAGAGGAGTTCCTCTTAAATATCCTGTTAGTTTCAAGGTACCTGTGTGATCTATAAAAAAAGTTCTTTTTATGTAACTTTATGAGTACATATATATTAATAGGATACCATCTTCAGGGACAAATTCCATTTTTTCAGCCACCAAGTGTGTCCTTCTGTCTCTATAAGTAAGATTTTTTTGTTTTTGATTACCAATTTTACGTAAGACGTTAAGTGCATCTACATTTTTGCCTAAATTCATAATTTTTTCATCTGGAAACCACTTTGACACTAATTTTTGAATTGCTTGCTTCTGTTCGTTTCGTTTTTTTGGCGCTATGCTATCCAAATCTGTCACCACTACCGTAGGTGTTGGCAATCCCTTAAATATTATGAAATATTAGTTGAAATGAGTGAATTATTACAGTTCTGTTTATATACTTGTGCAAAAGCAGAAAGCAACAATTTATTTCCCCATTGGTCTATATATTCACTGTTGAAGACCGTTTCTGATGCAGCAGATATTACAAACAAAACAGTGTTACACACTTTTAATGTATCCAAAGTTGCAAATTCGTTGTCAGTAGGAGGTTGAATAAACGCAAATCTTTGCTTAAACTTTGGAACACTGAAAGCAATTTCTTGTATTTTGCACAATATTATATTATGTTCAAGCAATTGATACCTTAAATGAGTTATGCCAGATGGACTTTTATTTATTATATTTTCTTCATCACAGTTATTTAGAAGTAGAAGTGCTGTGGTAAGGTCCAGTTGTTTATTAAGCGGAATAACACATACTAAAACATTACACTAGTTTAGCAAAAATAAGGTGACCCCTTATTTGTATTAATAAGTGTATTCAAACTATAGTAGTCACGTTGAAAAATTAAAGCCAGTACCTAAAAAGGGTGCTTGGCTATATATTCCCAACTGCCTCTTCTTTGCCAAAATTTCGTTACGTTTATTTCTGCGAATTTGTTGAGTTTGGTGGCGTCTCTGTTCTTTATTAAGTTCTTTCTTGTGTTTTTTAGATAATGTTTTAATTGATATTTTTCCTGAAAAGGAATTTTGAACTCTTTTTATATACGTGTTTGACTTAACCTTACCTTGAGATGCTTCGTTTACAGCACCTTTTGAGCGATGTTTTCCGTGTTTATGAGGTTTGTTTGTTTGCTTAAGTAGTCCCGAACGATGTACTTCTTTTTGAATTGCCATTTTTATGTTTTAAATTCTAGTTCAAAAATTTTACTTTCTTTCAGATACGTACATAACCATATTGCGTGAAATTAGTAACAGATACCATAGAAATTATATTCTTTGGATTTTCATGAAGATAGTAAGTGGTATGTGCATAACTAGCCAATAGAATACATATGCATATAGATAGTTAAATTTTTAGATAATCGCCCATGTCAGTCGTTTGTGATCTTAGAGCATATGTATACTGTAAGTGTGTGACATAAATGGTAGTATTTGTAACAGCTTACTTAATTGGTAATTAATTCACAAGTAAAGGGTAAAAGTGGAGTTGTTTTACCGTAGAGTCTATGTACATCTATGATTTGTACTATAAGCTTATCTATGAGTACAAGATTACTTATGGTTACCAATGGTTACTTTAGATCTATGACACAGGATATTGACATAGATAATAGATACACAAAATTAAAGAAATTGTTTATAAACGTTTTCCTTTACGGAATTCTCAAACGATATAGCTTTGCCCTACAATTATATCTTTTTTCTTTTTGTTTCATCCGTTTCATGCATTATGTATGTCGTCTTTTTAAATTTCTTGATTTTAACATTGGATTTATTGATTGTTTGTAATTTATCTATGGTTTGTATTTAAAGGTTATGGTTAATCGTGTAGCAGAAGCACATGTTGAAGGTGTCGTGAAATGTGATTTAGTTAATTTTTCTTAAAAGAAGTTGATTCCCCATAAAGAATAATGTCAGAAAGAATATTTGTTTCTTCCCTTATAATGAATTTGCAAAATTCGAGTAATGACAATGTGGAACTTAAAAGGATAGCCGAAAAAACATACAACAAGGTAAGGGTGTTTTATGTATTATCAAAGTCTTCTTTATATAAATGTATATTTTAAGAAATTAAACAAAAGCCATGTTAAGGCAATTTACAATGATCTGGCGCTGTTAATGTTAAATCCTGTACATGCTGAAGATATTGTTGTAACTTTTAAGGAACATGTAGTCAGCATATTATCATATGCATTACATGATTCCATTTTACAATGGGATACTGATATACACTTAAGAAACTGTGTGGTATTAGGAAAAATAATAGATTTACATCCTGATGTTGGAAGGTAATAAACAATGATTTAACTACATAAATGTATTGCTAGATTATTACATGTTTCAGTGTTGCTATTTCTTATTTTAATCTATACCCTTCGCCATTTGAGAGTAATACATTAGAAAGTCCTATAAAAAAGAAAACCCGAACTAAGGAGTCCCCAGTTAATAGGGAGATTAAAGTAAATAATGTGGATATTGTAGATGCTTGTTACAAACTGTTAAAGTTTTCTCCTGATTTCTTTGGGAGGAAATGGCCATGGTCTGTGTTTTTTAAAACATTTTTCAATCAAAATAACCCTAAAATTATATGGTAAGTAGCTGAATTTTTAACAGATTTCAATTCAGTTCAGTTTATTAACCAGAAAAAACTTACAAAGTAAAATTTTATAATGGTATTTGATATACCTGCACATAGGTCTGGTTACAACCTAATAAAAGTAATAGTTAATAAGTAATATTTATTCTATTAATTTATTGTAGGAATTGTTGTTGTTGCGTTAGGATTTTAACTGGAATGAATGAGTCATCATTAGAGAAGTTTATGAAGTTGGATTTATCAGATAAACAAATAGATCAGTTTTTAATTCAGTTTGAAACTAATAAACATTCAAAATCTACTATTCACTTTCCTAAAAATGAAATGGGTACTGCAGATGAAGATTTTTTTATTGATCAAAGTTCTACTATATTTTCTCATGTTACTTATGTTGGAAATATACTTTTACCTGTTTATAATAAAGAAACTATTGGGGAAGTAACAAGTAGCAGAATAATTGAAGTAGAATCCACCAAGAGAAATTTATTTAAGATTGCATTAGCCGTGGCTGCAAACAAGCCAGTTTGTTTGCAAGGTCCAGTTGGATCTGGAAAGACTTCTTTAGTAGAATATGTGGCCATGAAAACTGGGAGGATTTTGGGTAAATCTCTGTTTAAAATCCAGTTAGGGGACCAAACAGATAGCAAATTACTTTTGGGATCTTATAGATGCACTGATGTTCCAGGGGAATTTGTGTGGCAACCAGGTGTTCTAACACAGGTAAAAAATAAAAACATTTATTTACATATATTAATAATAATAAAACTAACAATGGACGTGTTGTAATAAATCATGTTTTAAATACTTAAAAATGGTAAACCGTAATATATCTTCTAAGGCGGTGATTCAAGGCAGTTGGATACTTCTAGAAGACATTGATCTTGCAAATTTAGATATATCATCTGTAATTAGTGCTTTAATTGAAAACAAATGTCTGTCTGTTCCTGGTTATAGAGATGCTATACCAGTGGGTCCTGGTTTTCAGATTTTTCTAACGCAAAGGTAATGAATTAAATTTCTGTGTATCGTTTTACTTAATTTAATTGCAAATTTTCTCTAGATCAATCACTAAGTCGAGTGGTCATCACATGAAGCAGACAAATACCAGTATTTTGTTAGAAAAGCATATTCTTCGGATAAATATCGAATCTCTCTTTAAAGAAGAACTAGAACAAATAATATCGACGTCCTATCCTGTTTTAAAAACTATTTCGTCACGAATGGTCAACGTGTTCAGGGTTTTTTCTGCAGAAAATTATGAAAGCTTTTCTAGAATTAAAGGCGGCCGACTGATTTCTACCCGGGATTTATTTAAGTGGTGTTCTCGAGCTGCTATAAACTTTGACGTTTCTAGTCAAGCGAGCGCTTTAAAGGTCCTACAAGAAGCGATAGATATATTTTGCTGCTCATACAGCAAGTTAGAAGAGAAGATAGAAATTGCTAAAGCTATCAGTTCTGAATTAGGAATCGTAAACGAGAAGGGTGAATATTTTTGTACGAAGTACAAACCTAATTTAACTCTTACACCTGATAGCTTCACAGCTGGCCGAGTCTCGTTACCACGAAATGCGAATTTGGAACCAAAATACTCGGTATTTTCTTTTACGCGGCCCTCTGTTTGTCTTTTGGAACAAATAATGTGCTGTATAAGTATGAACGAACCAGTACTCTTAGTTGGAGAAACGGGAACCGGAAAGACCACTTCGGTGCAATATTTAGCACGCGTGTTAGGGAAGAAACTTGTGGTAATTAATATGAACCAACAGTCAGATTCTGTGGACTTATTGGGGGGCTACAAACCTGTCGACCTAAAGTTTGTACTTTCTCCGCTTTTGAGAGAATTTCGAAATGTTTTCTGTAACTATTTCAATGTAGAAAAGAATCAAAAATTTTTAAGTAACATCAATTTATGCTTCAATGAGCAAAAGTGGGACATGCTGTTAAAGTTGCTCAAGAGGAGCTGCGAGGCTGCCTTAGTTCGTTTGTCGTCATGTGACGATATTTCTGTAAAAATTGGTGGAAAAAGGAAAAAGGATGAGAAAAGAGTGTATTCGAATTTCTTAAAAAAATGGACAGAAATTAGCAAAAAGTTGGAGAAATTCGAATTGCAACTTAAAAATAAAAATGCCTTGGTATTTTCGTTTGTCGAAGGAAGTTTAGTTAGAGCAGTAGAAGAAGGATACTGGGTACTTTTGGACGAAATCAACTTGGCAAATGCAGAAACTTTGGAGTGTTTATCTGGCCTATTAGAAAGCAGGGAAGGCTCCCTAAGTCTCTTGGAACGAGGCGATAAAGAACCTATCAAAAGGCATAAAGATTTTGTTTTGTTCGCTTGTATGAACCCATCAACTGACGTAGGTAAAAAGGACCTTCCCGTGGGACTTAGAAACAGGTTCACAGAGTTTTTTGTGGACGAATTGACCGATAAAAGCGATTTATTATTACTCGTTAGTAATTATTTAAATGCCATGGCTCTTTCAAATGAAAAACTGGAGAATATTGTCAAACTGTATCTCAGTATTTGTAAAGAGGCTCAACTAAACTTAACAGATGGCCTGGGGCATAAACCTCATTTTTCTTTGCGATCTCTGTGTAGGGCCCTGGTGATTGCATCAAAGAATCCCTGTGGGGTATTTACGAGAAGCCTTTTTGAGTCTTTTTTGCTTAGTTTTCTCACCCAACTCGATGTTAAGTCTTACAGAATTGTTCAAAATCTTATTTTAAAGTGAGTTGATTTTTGTGTTTGTTTTATCTAATTAATTTCAATTTTTTAAATATTTTAGGTACATTTTTGGCAATGCGAAGGAAGCGAAGAGTATTTTGAACCAGCCCATTCCACCGCCCCAACAACCAAAAAATAAAGATTTTGTACTTTTCGAAGGTTATTGGATTGCAAAAGGAGACCTGGAACCTTTGCCAATTGAAAATTATGTGTTGACAGAGTCTGTTAGGCGAAACTTGAAAGATCTGGCAAGAGTTGTGTCCTTGGGACGTCTTCCCGTTTTACTACAGGTACAAATAATTGGTTTTTATATTCTTTTTGTAGCTTGCAAGTAATTGGATTATTCATTTAGGGGGTGACATCCGTAGGAAAGACGAGTATGATAACGTATTTGGCAAAAAAAAGCGGTAATAAGTGCGTGAGGATCAACAATCATGAACATACAGATTTACAAGAATATATAGGCTCTTATGTCGCCAATTCCGAGGGAAAGTTGGTCTTTCGTGAAGGTGAAGCCACTTCATTTAATATAAAACCTTTATTTTTTCTTATTCTTCCCATTTTGTAAATTTTGTAGGTGTTCTCGTCGAAGCAATGAGAAAAGGCCATTGGATTATACTGGATGAGTTGAATTTAGCCCCAACGGACGTTTTGGAGGCCCTAAATCGAGTTCTTGATGATAATCGCGAATTATTTATACCGGAAACCCAAACAACTGTAAAAGCAAATCCCAATTTTATGCTCTTTGCCACCCAGAACCCACCAGGGGTTTATGGTGGTAGGAAAATGCTTTCGAGAGCCTTTAGGAACCGATTCGTAGAACTTCACTTTGATGAAATTCCACCTGTTGAATTAGAAGTTATTTTACATGAACGCTGCGAAATGCCCATGTCTTATGCTATAAAAATGGTGGCCGTTATGACAGATTTACAGGTGAGTGATTAAAACGTTTTAAGTTATAATCGATTATTTAAAAAATAGCATACCTATATACGTTTAATTGTAAAATTAAAAAATTTAAATTGGCAAGCAAAGCTTGTACAACACTACCAAAGACGGAATTCACTTCGTGAGAAATATATCTTCCCCTCTTCATTAGAAATAGAAGCGAAATACATATTGGTTTTATTAATAATGAGTTTATTAGATTAATCCGTATAAAATGTTCTTTAGAATATTAAAAACGAGAAATAGTTTGATGAAGTTGGCGTATAAACTTGAAAATTTTCTAATTTTTCTTTTAGTTATTGTATTTTATTAATCCATTTATGCATATGAACACGCGAAATTTCATAAAAGTTGGCTTAGAAATCTGCTAAAATGTTCTCACATCTTATTGGTTCTTACAATGATATGCATTAAGATGGCTACATCATTGTGTAAGTATATTTTGTGCTGAAATTTTAAGAATTTTTTGGTAATAATGGTCAATTCTACAGTTAAAAGTGTTTAAAGTGGTTTTTAATTATTTTTATCATGTAGATACGTGTATTTATTACTGCAATAGGTTATTTCAATGGTTATTGTTGACCTAATATGATGTACGTGGCTCAAGAGCGTATTAATTTTTCCCGAATTTTCAGAATTTTCTAATTGTGGTTATTTTTATTTTTTGATTTTCTACTTGTACTTAAGATGTAAAATAAAATTTAAAACGATTAAAAGCCAAAATTATTTCCGAAGTTGGCTTAGAAATCTGCTAAAACGTTCTCAGTTCTTATTGGCTCTTGTAATAAAATCTATTAAATGGCTTCCAACAAGTTGCGTAGTAAATTTTGTGTTGAAATTTTAAGAAATATTTGATTAAATTGGCCGATTCCGGGGTGAAAAGTGTTTTAATTAACTTTTTTAATTATCTTCCTCACGTACGTTTATTTGTTGTCGCAATATATTATTTCAATGTAATTATATGTATGTTTAATAATGTGCAGTACATGACTCAAGGTCATACTTGTATTTTTCCCATAAATTTTAATATTTTCTAAATTAAAGAATTGTACTTGGTGCCCTAGGTAAAAAAATATATTTGATGTTAATTACTTTTTTGCTAGCTTTCGTTACGACGGCAATCTATTAACTACTCACAAAGGTTTTAATAGATTGTCTAGCTAGCAAAAAAAAGTAATTAACATCAAATATATTTTTGTACCCAGAGCATCACGTACAATTCTTTAATTTATAATTTACTGGGAAAGGTTCTAATATTATTCATATTTTTAATATATTCTAAGGTATAGGTACAGATATGTGCATTTATTATCGTAAAATTTTATTTTAAAAGTTTTTGTATTTTTTTTCTACGTTCCATTGTTTTACTTTTAAAATATAGACCCGGAGACGCAGATCTGCGGCTTTTGCCGGCAAGCAGGGTTTCATAACGTTGAGAGACCTGTTCCGGTGGGGTGAGAGATACCGACTTTCAAAGGTTTCGAATCGTTTGTACGATTGGGATCAGCATTTGGCGGACGAGGGTTATTTGTTACTGGCAGGTCGAGTTCGCCAAATAGAAGAGCGCGAGGAAATAGCAGCGGTCATAGAAAATCGTATGAAACGTAAAATTGTGCCTGAAAATCTTTTTACGTGTAAGTAACTTTCTTTTCATTAAACAACCTGTTTTTTTTTTGTTAAAACAAAAATTTATTTTCATATAGTGTCTGAAAGAACTTCACCTGTTACAAAAGGAATACTCGAAAATCTTGAGCGGAACAAGAATAAACACAGAAACATTGTTTGGACTTACAACATGAGACAACTGGCGGTCTTGGTGTGGAAAGCTCTAGATTTTCACGAGCCAGTTTTATTGGTGGGTGAAACGGGATGCGGTAAAACGACCATTTGCCAGCTGTTGGCTGAACTTCGTGGACAGGAATTGTTAACGGTGAATTGCCATATGCACACGGAAAGCAGCGATTTCATCGGTGGTTTGAGACCGATACGAGATCGCAATGAAAATAACAATTCACGACTATTTGAGTGGGTAGATGGACCTTTGATAGAGGCAGTTGTTGGGGGCGAAATGTTTCTTGCGGACGAAATATCTTTGGCTGACGACAGTGTCTTGGAAAGGCTCAATTCTCTTTTAGGTGTGTCATTTTGATAAGTCTATTATTTAATTTATTTATCTTTTTTATTTTGTATTCTTAGAATCGGAAAGGACCTTGCTGGTAGCTGAAAAAGGAACGGACATCAACAGCATAAATAGTTGCGAATTTATTGTGGCTAATGATAATTTTCGATTCATTGGTACTATGAATCCGGGGGGCGATTATGGAAAAAAGGAGCTATCTCCAGCTCTCAGAAACAGGTTTACGGAGATATGGTGCGAACCGTGTAAAGATAGAGCCGATCTTATTCGAATTATCGAATGTAATATTAAAGATACGCTTTCGCTGTGTAATTTCGAAGATGAAAAGTCAGGCATTGGAAAAATGATTATGGACTTCATCGAGTTTTTCTCTAGAACGGAATTAGGTAGAAGGTAACCGATTTGAAACGATTCATCTTTTTATAAATTTTATGTCGTTGTTTTTTAATTTTACTATTAGATTGACTATAACCGTGAGAGACATCTTAACCTGGGTTTGTTTTCTGAACGCTTGTGATCAAAAATTGAACGTAACAGATGCCTTCGTGCATGGTGCTTTCTTGACTTTTTTGGATGGCATGGGATCAGGATTAACAACTACAGAAAGGTACGGAATAGGTTTTGTTATGATAGTTACACTACATATTAAGCATTTGCATAACAAATAATTTCAATTATTGTTGTAGTCCCCAACTATTAACAACTGTGCGTGAAAGTTGCCTGCAATTTCTGAAGAAACAGTTGCGTGATGTTGGTCAAGACGTTTCGGACTTATTTCTTGACAATGAGAAGTTGTTAAAGATAGAGTATACATTAGATGGAACTTTTGGCATTAAACCGTTCTATGTGGCTCTCGGAAATGTCGAGCAAGAAACGTCAAGCTTTTGTTTCGATTCGTCTACAACTAAATTTAATGCTGTCAGACTTCTCAGGGGAATGCAATTAAATAAGGCTATTTTGTTAGAGGGAAGTCCTGGCGTTGGAAAAACCAGTCTCGTAATGGCGTTAGCAAAATGCACTAAAAATAGAATCACAAGGATTAATCTCTCCGATCAGACGGTAATGAAAAAGTGGTAGTTGCCATAACATGTTATTTTTTTGTGTTTTTTGTTGCAGGATATTTCCGATCTTTTTGGTGCCGATTTACCCGTCGAGGAAGGAACTGGGGGTCATTTCTCGTGGCGAGATGGTCCCTTTTTAAGGGCACTTAAGAATGGAGATTGGATATTATTAGATGAACTTAATTTGGCTTCTCAGTCGGTCTTGGAAGGATTAAACGCTTGTTTGGATCATAGAGGGGAGATTTTTATCCCTGAACTTGGGAAGACCTTCACGGTCAAGCTGGGTAAGCTTATGAATGTTAAGGAACAGCATATTAAACTGTTTTTTGTATTATTATTCTCTATTTCTTTCTTTTTTAAGGTACACGATTGTTTGCTTGCCAAAATCCTCAACGCCAAGGGGGTTCAAGACGAGGATTACCGCGTTCGTTCCTTAACCGTTTCACGCAAGTTTATATTCACGCATACAACGATAATGATTACGAACGCATTTTATCGAAGGCTTTCCCGTTATTTCCCCAGGATTTAATTCGTAAAATGATAGCGTTTAACTCGGCCGTTAATGAAGCCCTACGAACGCGTTCGTTCGGACACAGGGGCGCCCCGTGGGAGTTCAATTTACGTGATTTGGTGCGGTGGTGCGAAGTGACGCAATTTTTATACAAAGACGTGGACGGTGAATTGGCTCCCGAGCGCTTCGTGAACGTAATCTACGCTGATCGGATGCGAACGCACGAAGACAAAATGAAAATGTGCGAAATGTTCGCGAAAGTATTTGGTCGCGAATTAATCGGTATCGCGCCAATCGCCTACGTCACTAGGACTAAAGTTTATATTGGTGACGCTAGAGTCGAAAAGATGACTGACAGCGTTAATATGAACGTATTAAAACAGGAAAAGACTAATTTAGTGCTTCGAAAACAGTTAAGCGTCTTGCGCAGTTTATGTTATTGCGTCAACTTGAAATGGATGGCCGTTTTAGTGAGTTCAAATTTGATACATATCTTTGACTTATTTGCATTTTATGAACGTCTTTCTTATTGTGTTCTTTTTATATTAATTTCTTGTTTTGACTTTGTTACAGGTAGGCCCTGCAGCTAGTGGAAAAAGTAAAGTTGTGCATACATTGGCAAAACTGACCGGCAGGACATTGTATACGTTGCCTGTCACTCCCGCGATGGACACCATTGATCTGTTAGGAGGCTTTGAACAGGTGAGTTTTTCAAAATGTTTTTATATTGTTAATTTTTAATATGATGTGGTTACGAAAAACTGAAAGTACCAAGAAAAATAGCGTATTAGGACAGCAATATATTCATAAATATATGTATTCGTTACAATGTTTCAGTACATTTCATGCAATGAACTTAAACAAATTTTCACCGTTACATAGTATTTATTTCATTTTTCTTTAAATAACAACCTTTAAAATCTTATTAGAGGACGCTTGTTATTTTTATATTGTTGTTAGGCACATTTTTTTAAATAGTAAGATGTATTATACATACATGGTGATATAACCCTTTTATAGTCTTCAAAAAATAAAACTATAAATAGACATTTTAATTCGTTAATGTTTGATATTGCTATAACATTTATCGTTATTATTCATTTATAGGTATTTATTTTTATGATTTTCTGGGTGATATCATTTTTTTAACAGAAATAGTTACAATTATTAGCTCCAACGAGAAAGAAACAAAGCATAAATGATTTATTTATTCAGTATTTTCGTAAAAAGAAAAATAAGCGTAACAATATAAAAATAATATTTGCATTAGGCTGACGTTTATGTTAAGGAATATCATAAAATTAGTCTATCATGTTTTCTTCTACCTTGAAATTATGGTACAGACGTCGGACATTTCTCAAGTAATATACATATATTGTATTACAATTAATTCGTGCACTCATATAATACGTTGACGAATATAAAATTTTCAAGTTTATTATTTTCTACAAAACATTATCGTACACAGTAGTGTACGCATATACATATTATCATATTGTGAATTAATTTTGAGTTTCTTCGATATTTAAAAAAGATAGATAAATAATACGTGTTTGGTTTATAAGAGAAAGACTTTTATGTACAATGCCTATTAAAATATCGTTCGGTAGGAAACGTTTAAAATAAGTTTATATACTATGCATGTTTGTAGCTATGATTATCGATGATGTACTTAAGATCGACTCGAATGTATTAGTACTAATTTTCGTTTTAAAAATCATTAGTTTAGGAAACATTAGATTTCAGTTAGGCCATTGGTTCTTCGAAAGTAAAAATTAAGCTTTTCATTTTGAATTCATTGTAGGTAGGTGTGTGTGGTATATCACTGTATGCTTTTGTATCACATTGACATGGTACCTATACTCTAGTATTATTGTATTTTAGAGATTTAAATATAAATACATACATGAGACATATCATGTTATTCAGGAAGTAGGTGTCGCATAAAGTACACGCTACGGCTTTTCTGTTTTTCTTGTCCTTTTTTCGCTCTTCCAATGCAAATCTTAACGTGTATTCTTATATTCCGTGGTTCTTAAATTTCTTCGTTTTCGGGCGATGATCCCAGTGCAGGGCTCGAGAAATGGGGAATTTGTATGCCTCCGTTAACAGATTCGGGAATCCAAGGGTTCAGATCGGTGTCTCCCTTAAAATTTAGCCGTTTGATGCAATTATCGTTATTAATATAGGTATAATTCGACAATGAGAGTGCTAAAAGAGAGGTGCTGTCCTTTTATTAAGTAAAAGAGTATCCTGTGGTAGCGTTATAAAGCTGAAGCAGTTAAAAGGAAGGCTAAAGTGTTTGCATTTTAGTCATTTTAATGTATCACATAACATGCTTACAACACAAATTTAACATTAATTGTTAATATTATAGGTGGATGTTGCATATACATATACATATTATACGAGAATCCAATAATTTAATTGGACCATTCGTTTGCCAAACAGTAGGCAAAAATTAAAGTTTAAACGGTATTTTTCAAATAGCTATAAAAATATTGCCCCGTGATAAAATCAAATAGGTTATTGTTTGATTTTTTGTGTTTAAAAATATCCTTAATATGGCTAAGGCAAAGTATAAACTAATAAGGTTGATTGGTAGATAATATAGTTTCTTTTATTAATTTACTGATCATCGTATTTATAAGTTAATTATGCGGAAAATATATAGAACATGCTGTTTACACCACTTACATATAATATTTAATTACCATAGAGCTTTCTGGCTGTGCTGGCGTCGGCAGGGACGATTTCAGTAATGATATGTCGGCTGCTCTGGGTGGGTCAGGGGGTGGGGGAACACTCATGGGTGCCAGCCACATGGGCAACCACCCGCAGCAAAGGTCTATAGTAGCTTGACGTAAACCTTTATGCAATACCAGGAATAGGGTCGGATTTACAATTGCGTGAACGTATGATATGTGAAGAGCTATCTACAATTTGCGAAAATTACCAATTAAAATGGGCGTATAACATTCACCTAATTATTGAAAGTTTTCCATGAAAAACTCAGTATTTTCTCTTACTTCGTATCCTAATGGATTTCCGATAACTGGATGATGTACTAAAGTAATAAAAAATAGTGGCCCCCAAAATAGAACGTAAGCGGCAGTAATTATCAGGAACATTTTCACCCTTTGTACACCTTCCTGTTCCATTTTTCGCAAGTAATTTCGCATCCTTCGCTGTTCTTGTAAAGCAGAAGAAGTCTAAAATATTTCATTATACGTTATATTTACACATGTTCAGGTCAATTTAAGCTTACCTACACATATAAAGAATGTGTATTTTCTGAATAAGAAGTCTTATAAATATTACAGTGCTGTTACAATTGTTTATTTTATCATTTCATTATAATTTAATTAATTTATAATTTAAAGTATAGCTGTGCTTTCTTAAAAATGCTGTGTATGTATCCAAATGGTACTCGCATGTCTTTTGGGTTGCCTAATGTGACTTTAAAAATGCGCCCCTAATAATATGTATAAAAGAAATTATGAGTGCATTCAGTCAAGGGCAAAGTAGTATTACGTAGTTAGTATCAGCAATTTTTTGTGCTGAAGTGTACGATGTGTTGCGTACCTATTTAAAAACAATTCCTTTCAATTTAATTTTTCCAACAATTTTTAACACAAACAAAGTGATTAAACAAATCATTCACAAAAGTGAATTTCGACCACTCGAAGCAATGGTGTTAACAGTTTCGAGCTCACAGTGACTGCTTGTTTTATTAAAAATAACTATTTAATGCACAGACACTCAACGTTTTATTCTCTTGTTGTATTGTGTACACTCGGAAGGGAAGAGATAAAATGTGTAAATATAATGGCGAGTGTTAATTATTATTGGGCTTGTTTTGTTTGTTGGATTTTATTTATTTCTCACTTGAGGATGATTACCTACTTACTTCTAAAATAATGTATTAATTTTTAGAAAGGTTTATGTGGCAAGGTGCAACATGCTTCGTTTTTGAGTAATGAAGCGTCCCACATTAAGTTAATAACGGTCCTGCCAGTTAGCATTTGGCCTTTTGCAAATATTTGACGGACCATTTGTACACTTCTCGACGCTTATTGTTACTCGTATAACAACGGCGCCGCGACGCTTACGCTTACTGTGTTCTAAAGTTTTGAGCCGCTGGCGATAATAATAAACCAAGTTTTTAATTAAAATTTTACTCCTCCGGTTGGTAATGGAAGACGCGCGAATTGTTAGAAAAACTATGCGTTAAGAATTTTCACGAGGTTTTGACTAATATATTTTATTTCTGCCTAAAGTTTATTCGTTTAAACTTCTTTTCCGTATCGTTCGTTATTTAATGAACAGGGATGTAATGTGTGTAGATGTGGTTTTTCATTCCTCAACTCTCCATCTCTAGAGAAATCGACCTCGTTATCTTGCTTGTCCTTACCTTAGGGACAAATACCTACCTTGCAATGTGGATTTGAATAAATCGAAAATATTCTGATGTTGTCAATGATTAAAAGGTCCTTCGAAGTTAGGAGACTGGTAAGATGTATAAAAAAAATTGTACCTGTTCACCGGTGGAGTTGGCAACTCTTGTGCCATTGTTGTCTGTAATATTGACTAAGGACGTGATCAGCCCTGCAACCCTTACTGCCTCTACATTAGCTTTGGTCAGGTCGCGGTGCAGTTTGCGTAAATGAAAGAGGGTGAGCAGCACACAAATCAGGTTAACCGCAATCCACAAGACGTTCAGGACGTAGTGGCGCAGGGGTCCGTGGATTAAAGGACACGAAGGAGCATTGTGGCCTAATTCTGCCTGGGCAGCCAGTGCACCTGCAAAGGTAAATAAATAACTGCAAACAGCAATTCACACAACAATCAGCGGTTTAAATAAATGGAAATTAATTCCTCAAATATTAATTAAATCTACTTATATTTGGGCAATTAGGTTTTCAGTGTTTAACTGGGTTGGTTTTTCTCTGACAGTTGATCGTATTTTTTATCGATTATTATATTAGTACAAGAGAATGGATTTCTGAGATATTGTGTCTGCTCTTTTGTTGTGCGAAATTAAGCCACTGTATTTTCCCATGGAGTCTAAGACGATAGGGTGATGAATGTTTGCCTTATAATATACGTATACCGTATACAGAATAAAAGAGTCGTGGGAGTGATTGCTTTTATTCAGTTGGAAGAGAAGAGGATCGAACGAGTGTATATTTGATATAAGACGCACCGTCGCACTGAGAGGATGTAGTAGGGCGACTCGAGATGGTGATGTAACGACGTTGACAATAGCCTTCTCGATTGCTTGCTGGGGAAAGTGATTCGATAATGGTTATTGTGTTCCAGCTATTAGGGATGACTTGTCTTTTTCACAAGGGACCGAGGTAAAGGTTGAACTCCTTCTCAGTCCCTCGAGACAAGTATTTATTTTATTCAGCCGTGAGGATGTGTCGATATTGTTAGACATATTGGCAGGAGTTTGTACATACTGGGTGTGCAAGTACATATAATGCCTGTTATATTAGGATTGGAAATTGACATACCAGATAAGAAGGTGGGTCCTAAATTGATAGTGATGGAGGCGAACCAGATCATGAAGGTTCCAAAAAGAACACATTGCGGAGAGTCCATGAGCAAGGGTGCAGCGGTGTCGGCTGACGAAGACTCGTCTTCGTCGTCCGGAAAAATTGGCGAGTCATTTAAAACAGTAGTAAGCATATTGACGGTGGCAACCGTGACGAGTAAAAGGAAGGCTGTTTCGACCAACGAGCATTTTTGTACCGGTTGACATTTGAATATCGATACACCGAGCGGCATCAAGAGAGCAGCTCTGGCACAATCGACGGCTGCCTGATGGAACAGAAGACCGTGGGTCCATCTGAAAGATCCAAAAGGAGTTTTGGAAATTACACAGATACATAAATTTTTAGGTCCTTCTCTTCCATGGGCCACTCTGGGTAAGTGTCCAGAACCCTGCTGCGAAGATCGCCAACTAATAATCGATATTAACGATAAATATATATTTAGTTTGCGAAAATCAAACGATATTTATTTACTGACTATAATACCTAGATGTTTATTTCTGCATTAGGAGCCCCACTTTCCTAAAATGTTCAGGACATCCTATAATTTAAGGATTGCGCTATATACTTTGACAATTGTCGGATTCGATTCTGCTTTCTTCAAGTATTTATGCTTTGTAGTTGGAAGTTAGATTTCTGTGGCGGCACGGAAATAAAAAGGGATTATAGTGTTTGCAGGGTAAATAAGTTTCATATAAAAAATGACTGGCTGGTTTTTATCTAGAAATAGTCCGCTTTGATACTCGATTTTTATTTTTATTGCCAATAAATACGTAATGTAATGAAACCGGGTTTAATAATAAATTGTCGGGTCACATTTTAATATCCTTAAAGATCCGATCCATTTTATTTTCCTCCTTTTGCAAAATTGCAAATTTTATTACATGTTTCAGATGTGATGAATATTTTTTGTTATTTTATACGATCAGACGTTGACATTTCAACGGAAATTGAAACCTTGTTATTTTTATTCTTATATATACCTAAAGAAACGAGATTAAAAAGCAAAAGAAATGTGAAGATTTAACTGTTAAAAGACGAAATATCTATTACTTGATACTCATTTGTTGACTGGCAAAACAGGGTAAATATATGAAAAATTTATTTTTATTACATTTATAGTTAACTAATTGTAGCTAGATACATAGGTATATCATTAATTATATGCTTCGGTCGATACAATTATGGTGTGGTTGTTATTAAATTTCAAGAATATTTATTGACAAAATGTTTCATCGAAAGTGCATTGGTGTAAAATAACAAAAATGAAGTTTATTATACTTATTTGGCAGTAATTACTGGTGCAAACGATATCAAAAAAAATATTTGACTTGGATGTAAATAAATCACAATAGTAGGTATTAAGAAAACTTTCAGTATCTCGATTACTTATGTATTTTCAGTTAATAATCGCTACATGTTTTATGTGTGTGTGCTAAAACAATCACCTCTGCATGAAGCGAAAATTGCAAGTTTTCCCATCGAGAGCTAAATGCGGTGTTAATATTGTGTATGCAGGTAAAATGAAATGGATGTGTAGGTAGCGTAATTATAAAGTCTAATTTCCGTGGATACAGTTCGGTTCCGTAGAGCGAGAGTACGGTTTATCCGCTCTCTTTTCCTTTAGCGATATTGAAAACGCTTGGAAATGCTAATAGGTACTTACGATTAGGAAAACTGAAAGGAACAAGTGAGCTATCTTCGGCACTCTTCCGGAAAACAATTTCACACTAAACTGCAGTCATCTCCTGTTAAAGACGAAAGATGTTCTGTTAAATCGGTACAGATACGGAACATTTTGACTCTCTAAACAAATTAAGGTTGCTTTTGTTAGCTAATCAATGGTACGTTTCTTTCTAGTGTAAAAAGTCTATAACAATAGAATTTTCTTGTTCCTTTCGTAATACCATAAATATGAGATAATGTACATAACTCTTGCGTAAACTTACATGTATTATCAGCGCCTGAATTATTCGGAGTTGTTACCTCTATACGTTCTGTACGCAAAACTGTACGGCTACTAAACAAACTGAAATTATAAATGACGAGAACAATAAGGGCCTGTTTCATTTTTAATTTGATTCGTGTTTATGTAAAGCATACACTACACACACGTGATTGTAAATTATAGAAAAGTCTAACAACGGACTACCTCCCCCGTCCCCAGCGCCCCAACGAATATATAAATAAAATAGGTAACGGTACAGAAACCGTTAGAAAAACTTTAGCTGCAAAGTTTAGGGGAATATCTGTACATACCAATGTATGTATGTTTCGCAGGGTACCTTGTTAAAATATAGTTCTGTAATGTTGTTTTGACCCACCCCAGTCACTGAAAATGCATCAGCAAGGAACAGCGAAACGTTTGGAAAAGTAAATGCGAGTGGTTAATATAGAGCAGATAACAGTTCGTTTAATTTATATTGGATAACGTGAATATTGACTGTCGACTGCATTTTGGCAGGCCTTGTCAAAGCTAAGTAAAAAATATTTTGTCGTAGATAAATAGGCGTTAAGAATTTTATTAAAACAAATTATCGTTAACGTGAATTATTCAAAACGCGATTGCGGAGTTGTAAAGGAAGAACGCGTCCTTGCGAAGAAATAACGGGATATACGTATGTAAAGAGACGGTTACTTGGCCTCCTGGCAGGTGTCCTGACGGGAGGCGAAAACAAAATCATTAGTGTCGTCTTTAACGACATATTTTTCACTTCGTACCGAAAGCATCTGGCTATAATTAACGCACTCAGCACTTAGCATTTGTTCCGTTTTCTTCTTTCACTTTGGACTTGTACCTTCTTTATTAGAAAACGAAAAAGATGATTCATTTCATCAAAATAAAATTTGGAATACATACTTGGTTCGATTTTAAATGAGGGCAGTCCGCATATCGGAATCCGAAAAGTTGCATTTTTTTTTTTAAATCAGAGCAACTCCCGGAGATATATGTACCTATGCACAATCCAGAATTCTTACCTGGATATGCGTAAAATGTGATCCATTTTCTTTCATATAAATCCGCAGATACCTTTTGAACGATTTTGTGAGAAAATTACATGCGAGCAATTCTTCTGTGTTCGGTTGGGAATGATGAAGGTGTAAGTACGTATAGGTAGGTGGCTTTACCGTTAGAAAAGGTTTTCGCAAAATTGACGGTCGACGCGAAAGTTCAATTAATCTTTATCAAGTTTAGAGCGAAATTCGATTCGAAGTGTCTTTTGTGCGATGATAGCAAGGCACTCGAAAGTGACATGACGCGTTATAAAACTTGTATGTGACAGCGTAATTAAACCGAAAATGAGTTCTTTTCTAATAGCTGGCATTTTGTTTGATAATACATACCTTCTCTGATTACTTACGTTCGACGCTATGATGAAGGGCTGAGAGAGACTCAAAAATAATATTATTTGTAAATGACCAAAGTTGATAATGTACGCGGTTTACGTAGGCTCCTGATATTGGTGAGCAATACGTCTTTTCAAAAAGTTCTCTAAAATGAAGGATTAACCGTCCGGAAAACTTCCCGACTCATAATTGCGTTTTATTTGTTTCTTCGAGTTAACATCGACGAATCGAAACTGAACAGTAGATAAGGGTGGTGATCGATATCTCCGATACATTTATACGTATATTGGAAAGTTTGTCGGAGCTTTCCAAAACTCTAAGCTAATACACAACTTACGCTTCATAAGCATACCTAAACCTCCACTAGCCCGAACCGGAATCAGTTTAGCTTGTAATTAGCTAAACTATGTGCACTAGAAAACTTTCACGCTAAAAACTCATCCGCGATTCGCATTTTTAATCAGTAACTTGAGTAATAGGACGTACAATTAAAATTGAGTTTTTCGTAACAATCGAAGGAATTGATAAATAAATTAGGAAATTAAATAAATAAGTAGGAATACTAAAGTTGATATATTTTGCGATAGTTCAACGAAAACGAGGAAGGAGGTGGTATTTTGATATTTTTAACGTTTTTATTTTGAGGTGCATTAAATAAAGATTAGGTAGGTAGGCATTTGCTTGCAATCAATCATTGCGCAAATCTTTTCATAAATTCTCTCTATTTGTCGCTGTTGGCAGACGAAAAATTTATAATACTTGCAGGTACGTATTTATCTACTTGGGTATAAAGTGAAATTTTAAATAAAAGTCTGACACGAATGCCGAGCAGCATTTTACTTCATAAATCTGAATGAATGTGTAACGTTCGCCGTTCCCGTTCCTTTCTTTTCTACCCCGATCGAATCAGCACCGCCACGTCGAAGTTGCGTATTTTAATAGTGAAATGGGATAATGCACTCATGCTAGAAATTAATTTAGTTTGGTTCGTATTGTAATTTATTTTGTGTATTTTACTCGTGTTTCCTCTTTTATTCTATAGCAGGAGGGTTTGTCCCTAAATTACTGTATCGTAATGCCGCCTTTTCTTTCTCGCGAGAATTAGGAAGGAAATAGGGCCAATAAAGATTGTCATATAAGTTCCTCTAGTATTTGCGACCAGAAGTGCCTCAGTTTTTAGTATTTTTCATCCCAGCCATTTTTCGACCCGAAACGAGATATTCAGCTTGTCATCCTCTGATTTATTTGTATTCTCCATCAAAATTGAAATAAGATACAGGGCCGTATTAGTCGAATCGAAACGATTATCCACCGTTTCAAATATATATTTCAAAAATGTACGTTAAACTTGCCTTCTCAGTTGCCGGTTTCCTAGAATGACACCCATGAGAGCAATGTTTGCGGCCATCCCCATTGCGGCCAGGGCGAATATAAGCAATGCTTCTGTCGTGCCTCCGGGATGACATTGGAATACTTTGGTAGCGTTGGCACTGGCGTTGCTCGCGCTGCTACCGAAACGCAGGTTAGCACCTACCCCTATCATTGCGACAGCCGATCCTGAAAACAAATATTTATAGTATGTAATATTTAATAGAAAAATTGATTTTGGGGCGAAAAAGTTTTTTCTAACAACTTGTTAGTTAAGTACTCAATCTTACAATCTCCCCATACTGCCTCGTGTGGACCCCATGTGGTCGCATCGAATGAGGAAAAAAAATTAGGTATCATTCTATATATTAGAAAGTTATAGATAAGTATGTAAATGTATGGTTGTGCATATTCTGTTGGAACTGTGGCATTCCATCAATTTCTGTGCGTACATTTGATAAATTTTCTTTAAGAAAGTTATATTATAATTGATATGTAAATTCCTAAAAGTCAAATTGAAAATGAAATTGACGCAACTGGAGCAGGTAAAGGTGTGCGTAGCTCTGGAATTTTTGTTAACATAATAGTTTCTTAAAGGGTTACATTTTAAATTTTATATTTTATCCCATTCACCTAATAAGCAGATAGTGCCGTACAGAATTGGGGTAAAAATATATACCTACCGTTTACAGATACAGATATATTACGTAAAGTCCATAAATCACGGACCAAAACCACACCTGCGAGTTACAAATAGGTTTTGTTTTTTCGCTTTTAGAATCGTTTTTGTTGTTGCGTTCTCTAGGGATATCATTTATCGTCCTTTTTTTTTCTTTTTGTAGTCGTTCCATTTAGGGTTTGTTCAAAAAATACGTTCGCAAGCAGGAGAAATGAAGGATAATTCTGAGGGAATTCCAAAAAATGTGATATATACGCGGTTCATCAATTTTTCATTAATTTTTTTTTCTTATTCTTAACTTGTTAGATAACCATTATATCTCTTCGTTTTTTTGGTATAGTGGCGTGATTTTTGTTGGGGGGTAATAGAAAATATGACCCGGCGAGCCGATGCGGGCGCCAATCGGTGTCCTATCGCGTCGGTGTAAAATATCGATCGTAAGCTGTAGATCGTGCTTCTTCCAAGCTTTCATTGGTTTTACATTCGATTTGGATGAAAGTCCTTTTCCACCGTAATCTTCCTTTAACCGATTATAAAATTGTTTCTACTTTCATCGGTGTTTTAACAATAGTCAAAGACATTTAATCGTAAATGTTCATTATTGTTGATCATGCACAATTTGCTATTTGGAGTTCCTATAATGACCGTCTACAAAACCGATTGTTTCGAAAACGTATGCACACCTATGCACACTTACAAAATACAGTTACATGTACTCGTATGCAGACATAGATCTGATGGGATTAGACTAAATTGCAAAAGCACGAGCGTGTAATTGCTCGCAACCCCGTTTGAACGTGCGTGATGTGTTAAGTACGATCCATTATAAATAATATTTTAATACCTACCTACATACCTTTCCTATGAAAACTAAATATGTTTTAATTAATTGAAATAGAAGATGCAAAATATGAAACGATCTCTGTATAGATATGCGTATTTCAAATAAGTGCACTAACTAAAAGTAAAATTATTGTTAAAAAAAAACAATACACCCGACTAAAATACAATACTTATAGGTCAGCCTCATGGGGTACGTGATACAGTAACATCATTGGAATCCTAGCTGCACCCGTCCCAAATTCTAGTCGGGTAGAAATAAAAAAAAAATGGAAAATGAAAATTGATAATGCGCATTTTGTATTTTTTTCGTATATTAAAAATAGTAAGTAGTCCAATAATCTTGGGCATTTTGAGGCTCATAATATCGATAGGTGTAGGTTGTACAGGTGCCTACAGGATGTATGTGAATTTGAAAGGATATTATCGACCAATAAAGGACCAAAGGTGGCGGAGTAGAGGCCGTTTAAAGGGCCTTTCCTCTTTTTAAAAATAGAATTGGCAACAGCGTTATCTTGAATGGTCTACGCTTTTCCAACAGATAAAATCTCTCTTAAGCAGTTCGATGTTATCGTTGACCTAATTCGGTTAATTCTGTGTGTTATTTTTGCCAACAACTAGTTTGGGTTTAGTTTAACCATTATTATGATTACCTCAGCTGATTACCGACAATCATTACCTACTTACCTACCTTTATTGGTCGAGTTGTACTAACACGATTGAATTCAAAATAGAATAAAATTATAAACTGTGACTTCAGTTTCATTAGCTTGGGAAGAGATATTTGACTTGTTATATTGTTAGGTAGTTCTTTAAAAGGTAATTATAGAGTATTACAATTAGATTAGTTGAATCCGTCCAAATTTGGTCGGATGGGTACCGCTAATGATTGTGTATAGCACTTTGTTAAGTATAATTCTTAGCGATCCTTCCTAACATCGTAGGTATCGAATGTAGGCGTAAGTCACTTTTTAATAGGTCACTTAATTCCAAAACGTCGTATCATCAGAGGAGATTGTTACACCGATTTCCATAGCAGACACTAGTGGATGTATCTTTTTTATCTAACTTACGTTAGCTATCTCACGTAGAGTCGATATTTTAACATTGAACGGAAGTTTTCGTTTAAAAAGGTCAAGTGGCATTTGGTTCTCGATTCTCCCATGCCACGCTACGTAATCGACTACAACATAAAAAGCATTAATAAGACTGGAACTCGAGAGTTCGTGAAGAAATTTCGCATTAGATGTCTTAAGCAGCTTCAGCTGCTGTATCAGCTGTGCTGGTGGCTGTGCGCTCTTGTAATTCGCGTACTCTCATGCACCAAACTTTAGGACCTTTACGAATAAATGCGAGGCGATACGTCGATGGGGCGGTTATATTTTATATATTTGTATTGTACAGAGACGTAAACTGCAACAGCAAATATTGAGACGAAAAATTTGGGAGTTGTAAGAAGCTTTATTTTTTTTTGTAAACGCACCTACCCGCAAATATCTGTGATTAAATTAGATATTCTGCATATTTGTACCTCGATCTAATCTAGCTCTACCTTTACCCCTCCTAACTCATGTTTCAGTTTTCAATATGTCTCTAACTAGTCCTTCATGTTTGAAAAGGTGTCCTACCAACCTATCTCGCCTACTTCTTCTTGACTGCCACGACACCCTCTGTTCTCCTATTTTTTATTGTTAACTTTCTTTAAAGTGGGAGGCGTTAGTTTGCTTTTTAAATTCTTTATTCGCCCGTTTTCCGTTGTTTTCTCCGTGCAATCGTGAACATTTGTATGTGCAAACATACATAAAGTATAAGCACGCGTATCTATACATACACATATACGTCCTAAAGCTTTGCTTTCTCGTTTGTGACAACACAGGACATGTAAGCTTTTACTTGAGACAGACAGAGGAAAATGTTGTTGAATTTGCGAAAATTTTGAGGTTGACATGTTTCGAAAGTGTTTTGTTTAATATTTTAACAGACATCCGCACTTTACGACAAATAATATAACAGATTTGGTATTTTTAGAATTAATCTTTACAATAAATAGAGTTATGTAATTGTTGAAAAAGCCGAGAGGAATAATTCGAATTTTTAGAGCAATGTAAAACGAAAAATTTCAATCGAACGTTTGGAACGTAAACCTTGTTCAATGATGGTACCCAATTATAAGCTGTAAAGTCGTGCTTTATTGCTTTAAAGAATAATTGTTAANAGTGATTCGATAATGGTTATTGTGTTCCAGCTATTAGGGATGACTTGTCTTTTTCACAAGGGACCGAGGTAAAGGTTGAACTCCTTCTCAGTCCCTCGAGACAAGTATTTATTTTATTCAGCCGTGAGGATGTGTCGATATTGTTAGACATATTGGCAGGAGTTTGTACATACTGGGTGTGCAAGTACATATAATGCCTGTTATATTAGGATTGGAAATTGACATACCAGATAAGAAGGTGGGTCCTAAATTGATAGTGATGGAGGCGAACCAGATCATGAAGGTTCCAAAAAGAACACATTGCGGAGAGTCCATGAGCAAGGGTGCAGCGGTGTCGGCTGACGAAGACTCGTCTTCGTCGTCCGGAAAAATTGGCGAGTCATTTAAAACAGTAGTAAGCATATTGACGGTGGCAACCGTGACGAGTAAAAGGAAGGCTGTTTCGACCAACGAGCATTTTTGTACCGGTTGACATTTGAATATCGATACACCGAGCGGCATCAAGAGAGCAGCTCTGGCACAATCGACGGCTGCCTGATGGAACAGAAGACCATGGGTCCATCTGAAAGAACCAAAAGGAGTTTTGGAAATTACACAGATACATAAATTTTTAGGTCCTTCTCTTCCATGGGCCACTCTGGGTAAGTGTCCAGAACCCTGCTGCGAAGATCGCCAACTAATAATCGATATTAACGATAAATATATATTTAGTTTGCGAAAATCAAACGATATTTATTTACTGACTATAATACCTAGATGTTTACTTCTGCATTAGGAGCCCCACTTTCCTAAAATGTTCAGGACATCCTATAATTTAAGGATTGCGCTATATACTTTGACAATTGTCGGATTCGATTCTGCTTTCTTCAAGTATTTATGCTTTGTAGTTGGAAGTTAGATTTCTGTGGCGGCACGGAAATAAAAAGGGATTATAGTGTTTGCAGGGTAAATAAGTTTCATATAAAAAATGACTGGCTGGTTTTTATCTAGAAATAGTCCGCTTTGATACTCGATTTTTATTTTTATTGCCAATAAATACGTAATGTAATGAAACCGGGTTTAATAATAAATTGTCGGGTCACATTTTAATATCCTTAAAGATCCGATCCATTTTATTTTCCTCCTTTTGCAAAATTGCAAATTTTATTACATGTTTCAGATGTGATGAATATTTTTTGTTATTTTATACGATCAGACGTTGACATTTCAACGGAAATTGAAACCTTATTATTTTTATTCTTATATATACCTAAAGAAACGAGATTAAAAAGCAAAAGAAATGTGAAGATTTAAAAACTGTTAAATGACGAAATATCTGTTACTTGATACTCATTTGTTGACTGCCAAACAGGGTAAATATATTAGAAATTTATTTTTATTACATTTATAGTTAACTAATTGTAGCTAGATACATAGGTATATCATTAATTATATGCTTCGGTCGATACAATTATGGTGTGGTTGTTATTAAATTTCAAGAATATTTATTGACAAAATGTTTCATCGAAAGTGCATTGGTGTAAAATAACAAAAATGAAGTTTATTATACTTATTTGGCAGTAATTACTGGTGCAAACGATATCAAAAAAAATATTTGACTTGGATGTAAATAAATCACAATAGTAGGTATTAAGAAAACTTTCAGTATCTCGATTACTTATGTATTTTCAGTTAATAATCGCTACATGTTTTATGTGTGTGTGCTAAAACAATCACCTCTGCATGAAGCGAAAATTGCAAGTTTTCCCATCGAGAGCTAAATGCGGTGTTAATATTGTGTATGCAGGTAAAATGAAATGGATGTGTAGGTAGCGTAATTATAAAGTCTAATTTCCGTGGATACAGTTCGGTTCCGTAGAGCGAGAGTACGGTTTATCCGCTCTCTTTTCCTTTAGCGATATTGAAAACGCTTGGAAATGCTAATAGGTACTTACGATTAGGAAAACTGAAAGGAACAAGTGAGCTATCTTCGGCACTCTTCCGGAAAACAATTTCACACTAAACTGCAGTCATCTCCTGTTAAAGACGAAAGATGTTCTGTTAAATCGGTACAGATACGGAACATTTTGACTCTCTAAACAAATTAAGGTTGCTTTTGTTAGCTAATCAATGGTACGTTTCTTTCTAGTGTAAAAAGTCTATAACAATAGAATTTTCTTGTTCCTTTCGTAATACCATAAATATGAGATAATGTACATAACTCTTGCGTAAACTTACATGTATTATCAGCGCCTGAATTATTCGGAGTTGTTACCCCTATACGTTCTGTACGCAAAACTGTACGGCTACTAAACAAACTGAAATTATAAATGACGAGAACAATAAGGGCCTGTTTCATTTTTAATTTGATTCGTGTTTATGTAAAGCATACACTACACACACGTGATTGTAAATTATAGAAAAGTCTAACAACGGACTACCTCCCCCGTCCCCAGCGCCCCAACGAATATATAAATAAAATAGGTAACGGTACAGAAACCGTTAGAAAAACTTTAGCTGCAAAGTTTAGGGGAATATCTGTACATACCAATGTATGTATGTTTCGCAGGGTACCTTGTTAAAATATAGTTCTGTAATGTTGTTTTGACCCACCCCAGTCACTGAAAATGCATCAGCAAGGAACAGCGAAACGTTTGGAAAAGTAAATGCGAGTGGTTAATATAGAGCAGATAACAGTTCGTTTAATTTATATTGGATAACGTGAATATTGACTGTCGACTGCATTTTGGCAGGCCTTGTCAAAGCTAAGTAAAAAATATTTTGTCGTAGATAAATAGGCGTTAAGAATTTTATTAAAACAAATTATCGTTAACGTGAATTATTCAAAACGCGATTGCGGAGTTGTAAAGGAAGAACGCGTCCTTGCGAAGAAATAACGGGATATACGTATGTAAAGAGACGGTTACTTGGCCTCCTGGCAGGTGTCCTGACGGGAGGCGAAAACAAAATCATTAGTGTCGTCTTTAACGACATATTTTTCACTTCGTACCGAAAGCATCTGGCTATAATTAACGCACTCAGCACTTAGCATTTGTTCCGTTTTCTTCTTTCACTTTGGACTTGTACCTTCTTTATTAGAAAACGAAAAAGATGATTCATTTCATCAAAATAAAATTTGGAATACATACTTGGTTCGATTTTAAATGAGGGCAGTCCGCATATCGGAATCCGAAAAGTTGCATTTTTTTTTTAAATCAGAGCAAATCCCGGAGATATATGTACCTATGCACAATCCAGAATTCTTACCTGGATATGCGTAAAATGTGATCCATTTTCTTTCATATAAATCCGCAGATACCTTTTGAACGATTTTGTGAGAAAATTACATGCGAGCAATTCTTCTGTGTTCGGTTGGGAATGATGAAGGTGTAAGTACGTATAGGTAGGTGGCTTTACCGTTAGAAAAGGTTTTCGCAAAATTGACGGTCGACGCGAAAGTTCAATTAATCTTTATCAAGTTTAGAGCGAAATTCGATTCGAAGTGTCTTTTGTGCGATGATAGCAAGGCACTCGAAAGTGACATGACGCGTTATAAAACTTGTATGTGACAGCGTAATTAAACCGAAAATGAGTTCTTTTCTAATAGCTGGCATTTTGTTTGATAATACATACCTTCTCTGATTACTTACGTTCGACGCTATGATGAAGGGCTGAGAGAGACTCAAAAATAATATTATTTGTAAATGACCAAAGTTGATAATGTACGCGGTTTACGTAGGCTCCTGATATTGGTGAGCAATACGTCTTTTCAAAAAGTTCTCTAAAATGAAGGATTAACCATCCGGAAAACTTCCCGACTCATAATTGCGTTTTATTTGTTTCTTCGAGTTAACATCGACGAATCGAAACTGAACAGTAGATAAGGGTGGTGATCGATATCTCCGATACATTTATACGTATATTGGAAAGTTTGTCGGAGCTTTCCAAAACTCTAAGCTAATACACAACTTACGCTTCATAAGCATACCTAAACCTCCACTAGCCCGAACCGGAATCAGTTTAGCTTGTAATTAGCTAAACTATGTGCACTAGAAAACTTTCACGCTAAAAACTCATCCGCGATTCGCATTTTTAATCAGTAACTTGAGTAATAGGACGTACAATTAAAATTGAGTTTTTCGTAACAATCGAAGGAATTGATAAATAAATTAGGAAATTAAATAAATAAGTAGGAATACTAAAGTTGATATATTTTGCGATAGTTCAACGAAAACGAGGAAGGAGGTGGTATTTTGATATTTTTAACGTTTTTATTTTGAGGTGCATTAAATAAAGATTAGGTAGGTAGGCATTTGCTTGCAATCAATCATTGCGCAAATCTTTTCATAAATTCTCTCTATTTGTCGCTGTTGGCAGACGAAAAATTTATAATACTTGCAGGTACGTATTTATCTACTTGGGTATAAAGTGAAATTTTAAATAAAAGTCTGACACGAATGCCGAGCAGCATTTTACTTCATAAATCTGAATGAATGTGTAACGTTCGCCGTTCCCGTTCCTTTCTTTTCTACCCCGATCGAATCAGCACCGCCACGTCGAAGTTGCGTATTTTAATAGTGAAATGGGATAATGCACTCATGCTAGAAATTAATTTAGTTTGGTTCGTATTGTAATTTATTTTGTGTATTTTACTCGTGTTTCCTCTTTTATTCTATAGCAGGAGGGTTTGTCCCTAAATTACTGTATCGTAATGCCGCCTTTTCTTTCTCGCGAGAATTAGGAAGGAAATAGGGCCAATGAAGATTGTCATATAAGTTCCTATAGTATTTGCGACCAGAAGTGCCTCAGTTTTTAGTATTTTTCATCCCAGCCATTTTTCGACCCGAAACGAGATATTCAGCTTGTCATCCTCTGATTTATTTGTATTCTCCATCAAAATTGAAATAAGATACAGGGCCGTATTAGTCGAATCGAAACGATTATCCACCGTTTCAAATATATATTTCAAAAATGTACGTTAAACTTGCCTTCTCAGTTGCCGGTTTCCTAGAATGACACCCATGAGAGCAATGTTTGCGGCCATCCCCATTGCGGCCAGGGCGAATATAAGCAATGCTTCTGTCGTGCCTCCGGGATGACATTGGAATACTTTGGTAGCGTTGGCACTGGCGTTGCTCGCGCTGCTACCGAAACGCAGGTTAGCACCTACCCCTATCATTGCGACAGCCGATCCTGAAAACAAATATTTATAGTATGTAATATTTAATAGAAAAATTGATTTTGGGGCGAAAAAGTTTTTTCTAACAACTTGTTAGTTAAGTACTCAATCTTACAATCTCCCCATACTGCCTCGTGTGGACCCCATGTGGTCGCATCGAATGAGGAAAAAAAATTAGGTATCATTCTATATATTAGAAAGTTATAGATAAGTATGTAAATGTATGGTTGTGCATATTCTGTTGGAACTGTGGCATTCCATCAATTTCTGTGCGTACATTTGATAAATTTTCTTTAAGAAAGTTATATTATAATTGATATGTAAATTCCTAAAAGTCAAATTGAAAATGAAATTGACGCAACTGGAGCAGGTAAAGGTGTGCGTAGCTCTGGAATTTTTGTTAACATAATAGTTTCTTAAAGGGTTACATTTTAAATTTTATATTTTATCCCATTCACCTAATAAGCAGATAGTGCCGTACAGAATTGGGGTAAAAATATATACCTACCGTTTACAGATACAGATATATTACGTAAAGTCCATAAATCACGGACCAAAACCACACCTGCGAGTTACAAATAGGTTTTGTTTTTTCGCTTTTAGAATCGTTTTTGTTGTTGCGTTCTCTAGGGATATCATTTATCGTCCTTTTTTTTCTTTTTGTAGTCGTTCCATTTAGGGTTTGTTCAAAAAATACGTTCGCAAGCAGGAGAAATGAAGGATAATTCTGAGGGAATTCCAAAAAATGTGATATATACGCGGTTCATCAATTTTTCATTAATTTTTTTTTCTTATTCTTAACTTGTTAGATAACCATTATATCTCTTCGTTTTTTTGGTATAGTGGCGTGATTTTTGTTGGGGGGTAATAGAAAATATGACCCGGCGAGCCGATGCGGGCGCCAATCGGTGTCCTATCGCGTCGGTGTAAAATATCGATCGTAAGCTGTAGATCGTGCTTCTTCCAAGCTTTCATTGGTTTTACATTCGATTTGGATGAAAGTCCTTTTCCACCGTAATCTTCCTTTAACCGATTATAAAATTGTTTCTACTTTCATCGGTGTTTTAACAATAGTCAAAGACATTTAATCGTAAATGTTCATTATTGTTGATCATGCACAATTTGCTATTTGGAGTTCCTATATTGACCGTCTACAAAACCGATTGTTTCGAAAACGTATGCACACCTATGCACACTTACAAAATACAGTTACATGTACTCGTATGCAGACATAGATCTGATGGGATTAGACTAAATTGCAAAAGCACGAGCGTGTAATTGCTCGCAACCCCGTTTGAACGTGCGTGATGTGTTAAGTACGATCCATTATAAATAATATTTTAATACCTACCTACATACCTTTCCTATGAAAACTAAATATGTTTTAATTAATTGAAATAGAAGATGCAAAATATGAAACGATCTCTGTATAGATATGCGTATTTCAAATAAGTGCACTAACTAAAAGTAAAATTATTGTTAAAAAAAAACAATACACCCGACTAAAATACAATACTTATAGGTCAGCCTCATGGGGTTCGTGATACAGTAACATCATTGGAATCCTAGCTGCACCCGTCCCAAATTCTAGTCGGGTAGAAATAAAAAAAAAATGGAAAATGAAAATTGATAATGCGCATTTTGTATTTTTTTCGTATATTAAAAATAGTAAGTAGTCCAATAATCTTGGGCATTTTGAGGCTCATAATATCGATAGGTGTAGGTTGTACAGGTGCCTACAGGATGTATGTGAATTTGAAAGGATATTATCGACCAATAAAGGACCAAAGGTGGCGGAGTAGAGGCCGTTTAAAGGGCCTTTCCTCTTTTTAAAAATAGAATTGGCAACAGCGTTATCTTGAATGGTCTACGCTTTTCCAACAGATAAAATCTCTCTTAAGCAGTTCGATGTTATCGTTGACCTAATTCGGTTAATTCTGTGTGTTATTTTTGCCAACAACTAGTTTGGGTTTAGTTTAACCATTATTATGATTACCTCAGCTGATTACCGACAATTGTTACCTACTTACCTACCTCTATTGGTCGAGTTGCACTAACACGATTGAATTCAAAATAGAATAAAATTATAAACTGTGACTTCAGTTTCATTAGCTTGGGAAGAGATATTTGACTTGTTATATTGTTAGGTAGTTCTTTAAAAGGTAATTATAGAGTATTACAATTAGATTAGTTGAATCCGTCCAAATTTGGTCGGATGGGTACCGCTAATGATTGTGTATAGCACTTTGTTAAGTATAATTCTTAGCGATCCTTCCTAACATCGTAGGTATCGAATGTAGGCGTAAGTCACTTTTTAATAGGTCACTTAATTCCAAAACGTCGTATCATCAGAGGAGATTGTTACACCGATTTCCATAGCAGACACTAGTGGATGTATCTTTTTTATCTAAGTTACGTTAGCTATCTCACGTAGAGTCGATATTTTAACATTGAACGGAAGTTTTCGTTTAAAAAGGTCAAGTGGCATTTGGTTCTCGATTCTCCCATGCCACGCTACGTAATCGACTACAACATAAAAAGCATTAATAAGACTGGAACTCGAGAGTTCGTGAAGAAATTTCGCATTAGATGTCTTAAGCAGCTTCAGCTGCGGTATCAGCTGTGCTGGTGGCTGTGCGCTCTTGTAATTCGCGTACTCTCATGCACCAAACTTTAGGACCTTTACGAATAAATGCGAGGCGATACGTCGATGGGGCGGTTATATTTTATATATTTGTATTGTACAGAGACGTAAACTGCAACAGCAAATATTGAGACGAAAAATTTGGGAGTTGTAAGAAGCTTTATTTTTTTTTGTAAACGCACCTACCCGCAAATATCTGTGATTAAATTAGATATTCTGCATATTTGTACCTCGATCTAATCTAGCTCTACCTTTACCCCTCCTAACTCATGTTTCAGTTTTCAATATGTCTCTAACTAGTCCTTCATGTTTGAAAAGGTGTCCTACCAACCTATCTCGCCTACTTCTTCTTGACTGCCACGACACCCTCTGTTCTCCTATTTTTTATTGTTAACTTTCTTTAAAGTGGGAGGCGTTAGTTTGCTTTTTAAATTCTTTATTCGCCCGTTTTCCGTTGTTTTCTCCGTGCAATCGTGAACATTTGTATGTGCAAACATACATAAAGTATAAGCACGCGTATCTATACATACACATATACGTCCTAAAGCTTTGCTTTCTCGTTTGTGACAACACAGGACATGTAAGCTTTTACTTGAGACAGACAGAGGAAAATGTTGTTGAATTTGCGAAAATTTTGAGGTTGACATGTTTCGAAAGTGTTTTGTTTAATATTTTAACAGACATCCGCACTTTACGACAAATAATATAACAGATTTGGTATTTTTAGAATTAATCTTTACAATAAATAGAGTTATGTAATTGTTGAAAAAGCCGAGAGGAATAATTCGAATTTTTAGAGCAATGTAAAACGAAAAATTTCAATCGAACGTTTGGAACGTAAACCTTGTTCAATGATGGTACCCAATTATAAGCTGTAAAGTCGTGCTTTATTGCTTTAAAGAATAATTGTTAACTTTATGTAGGTCATTTTCAAAAGACCATTAAAACAGCGGGCAGACAATAATTTAGTTGGGCGCTTGCCACTTTCTTTATAAGCTAATTAATTAATATTTTTATCTTTTTATTGGATGCGGCAGGTTTAAGTGTATAATTCCACCAACACACCGATATTGTTTGCGTGACGTATTTTTTTTACTGCCTCGTTGAATGCAAAAGTTATTTCGGCGAAATTGTGGGGCCTGTTTAATTAGGTAGAGAAAATTTCGGTCGTTTTTGCCGTTTGCTTCGGATGAGCCGGCAACTTTTCTTCTTTGAATTTAAACGGACTACGAATTAGGAGAAAAATAAACCCAGTTGTTATACGAATTTACCCTTCGTCGATGGTAATAATCGGAATTAAAACTTAAATTAATTGTTGCAATATTGATTAGCTGCTGGGCAAATGAAATGTAGAATGCTGTTAATTGTCAATTGTAATTCGTCATTGATGTTGTAAACGATATATAGACAATTATTCATTGGTGGCCGACATTTCGAAACAGACAGACGTGTTAATTTTCCAATGTTTTTATATAGGTATTGTTTTTAAATAGGTAGGGATTATTTTAGAAACTACTATTCCTGAGTTTCTGTTTAAAATAAAACTATAACGGTTTCTGGTATTTAATACTTTTTAGTTTTAATTATATTAACGTTCATTCTTTCCGAAGATGTATGTAGTTGATCATTTTTGGTCGTCGGTATATGCCAAGTATAGGCAATTAAATAAAATACTTGTGCGATAAATAATTATAGACGTGTTCGTAGACGATAAACATGACGGCTCCTCCTGGTCCGAGCCTTAAGATTTTGGGAGTTAGACCGACGTAAAGGGCCGAAATGCCTTCCTCTTTTAAGATAGTAACCATCGAACCGATGGTGGAGTTATATTTGACATGTCCTGGGACAGGTTGCGGTCCTTGTATTCTAGATTTAGCCACGTCGAAAGGTATGTTGGCGCAACAAGCTACAGTTCCAGCAATGAAGCCTACAATTAGCTTTTTTATTATGTTCGATTCACCGGACGTTTTATCAATTTGCAACTTTTGTATTCCAGAATAATAGCTGCCAAAATAAATGGTACTGTACACGGCGTTCCTGTACATCGTGGCAATTAATCCTTTGTAGAGTCCTTTTTTTCCGAAACCGTCCTCTTTGATAATTTTTTTCGTCGTTATCCACGCACTATTCGCCTTTTTACCAGTTTCTCGACATGCTTGACAGTTGACTTTGATTACTTCGAATGGGTTAGAAAAAAGCGCTTCCACAAGGCCCGATCCCATTCCTGCCATAAAATAGGTCCTGCTCGTAGGTCCTCTCCTACTGTCTACCGTAAAAATATCTTTGAATTGTTCGAACGATACAAATTTGACGGCACGCTTGGGTGTTTCTGCCACCAAAGGCGAAAGCATGCCCCTGTAAAGATAACGAAATCCTTCGTGTTTGTATGTTTTAACGAAACAATCCACCACACCGTTAAAATGCTTGTCCTGTTTGCACTGTATTTGTAGCCTCGTTTTAACCAGATCGAGCGGGTACATGAGCAGGACTTCGAGAAATCCTGCAGAAGCTCCGGCGGCCGTTTGTAAATAGACATTGTGTAAACGGTTGTTAATATTGATCATTGATGAGAAGCAATTACAGCCATTGTGCCGAAAAATAACAGATCAGATATCATATTTTTGGTATTTTACAATAGGAGGTTGACGTTTCTTGACTGTCACATCAATTAGAAAGATTATATGTGATAGGCAATTATTAGGTACATGCTAAAGTCAGTTGTGCTATTTTTTTTATTGTAATTGTAAGACTTGAAAACTTACCAGCGGCCATTTTTATCTTGTGCAGAGGTGTTTTGAAAATTTCTAAAACTTAAGACACTCCTCGTGTTCCATAAAATTTGCTTTCAAATCCAGTATCGTCTTTGGCACACATTTCTATTTTCATGTATGTATTTTTTGAACACGCATAGGTACACGTTTTCTATTAATAATTGACTTTTAAGAAATGTCCCTTCTGTAACCACTCTAAAATCCGAGTAGGTACATTCTAGTTAATATAAATTTGATAAAAGTCATTTTCAACACAGCTGCCGTCTTTTTAGTTAGGTACTGAAAAAATCAATCCAACTTTGAAAATTGTTACGTGAAGTTTTGATTGATTTGCTTTATTGTATGCAAGCGCCTAGGGGTTTCAGTCGGTAACTCGGTAAGGGTCAAAAGCTTTTGAATTAATAGTAGAAGAGGAAACTCTCCGAAACAATCGTGCAGAATATCGTCCTTTATTTTTTTTTTACGAAAAACAAAAAAAATGAATGTTTCTGATATTTAATCACTATTAATTGTTGAAAAAAATTTACTTGTATTAAACATTAAACTGGTTATTGCTTGAAAGATTTAATATATCACTTAATCTTATTGTGCTCAGTCATGTGTGTGTGTGTGTGTGTGTATCTTACACAACGCATTGATTCTGTAAGACTTAAGAAACTAATAATATATGATAAGTCCTGAAAACTGTTTTTCACATAAAAATAAGTTATCCTCCTTGAGTAACACTATATGCATCCCCTATATGTATAGGAACGAACCATTTTATTGCTATTATAGTTTTATTATAGTTAGTTTCGATTTGCTTTTAAAATTATATATTAGTAGAATTAGAAGGATAACATTTTCTTATCACTTTGCCTTTTAAAGTAAGTGTTGTTTATGTAGGTAATCACAGGTAACTTCAATTTAATTGTACACTTTAGGTATAGGCAGATATTTATTTAGGTAATTTATATGCATGTGATTTTCGTGTTTTTGTTTGCCGATTTACGCGAACATTTACAAGTTTCCTGTTCCGGGCGCCGAGATATTGTGTGTTTCGGAGGGAGAGTTCGCGCAGAGACTGCAGGGATGCTGTAGTTTGCAGCCCTACCAGACGGATTCGCTCTCAGGGGGCGCATTTTAGAAGGTGTGGTCACATGTTTGTGTGCCTTTCTGTTGTTGAAAATCGCGACTTATTGTTAGCGGTATTCTTGTAGGCGACTTTCTCAAAAAGTTAAGGAAATTCAAATAGATACCTACTTAGTATGCCCATGTACCCTCATAGATTAGGTTTCCATTTCCGAAATTCTCAATTTTTAACTTATTATCTTGTATTGACATTATTCTTGTGTTATTTCAAATTTTCAACGTTATTCCACGTTGCGCTTGTATTTTGCGATTCCGTTTGTCTGTAATTAGAACAACTTTTTTTGTCCATTTTCTTAATTACTTATTGGAGTTACTGATTCTAAAAGTCTTCGCCGTGCTAATTTGGCTATTCTTTCCCGATTTCGCTTTCGCTATCGTCATGGGACTCAGTATAAACACATGGCATTGTGACTGATATAATTTCTTCTGTGTTTCTATTGAAACTCATGGGTGATGGCAGGTTATTATGAATCAGTTGCATGGATGTTTGTATATTCAAGTCAACTACATTTGTTATACCTGATAGTAATTACATTTACGAACCCTACAACGAGGAAGTTGTATGAGATAAAAAGTAAGAGGAGTTTTTCATTGTAACGGAATAAAAAGTGGAAATGGCGTAAAGAAACCTGAACGGCACGAAAGGAGCACAAAACGATTAGTTTTCGCGAATCGCAGGATCGTTTGGAGCGATTTAAAAAATTACCGGAAGATCATTATTCTGCCGCGCTGTTACGACACGTCCCTTTTTAGTAAACTTCTCCGATGACAAAGAACGGCAAAATTAAGGTTACGAGGTTATACCTACTATCTGATACAAAGTCAAACTAGAAGGGGGAAACATGTAATGAGAAAATACCCCTAGGGCCTGATTTCTTGCTTGCTTTTGCTATTCCGCTTATCTATCTTTTCCAGCAAACGTCCGTCCCCATTTTTATTCCCTAAAACTATTATCTGTTAACAAAAACAAATACGAAAAAATTAATTAATATATAAAAATAAATTGTTTAGGTCTCTTATCGTTAGTATCTTTTAAGCAATTCGTTGTCGGACGTTTTCATTGCACTGAAAAAATGACGCCTCTGCCTCTAATTTTATTTAAATTATTTCTTTTTACAATAAAACCTAACTCAAAACTAACTTTATATGCTGCATAACATACGTACCTTTCAGCTTGTTTGAGGGTGTTGTTGAATATTCGATTTACACGCAATGACTCAAAAATGTTACCATGGTAGCTACATGTGCCGGCCAGAGGCGTTAATTCTGTTGGAAACTTGCATCGACTTCACTTAATTGCTTCTTGTCCAAGGCACTTCCTCCTCGTCCTTTGAACTTTATATGCCAAATGAAACGGCATTCAGCTTTTCGAGCTTCACTATCGTCCTGAATTACAACATCTTATTCAACTTTTGTTATTCTTTGTCGATAGAAAACTTTCTACAATTGATTCGTAAACGATAGGGAGTGGTGTACAGGCAGACTTATCAGTTGACCTTTGCCTATTTGTGGATAAATATATACCTACCTATACATATTATAACTGACTTTCTCCAAAAGGATTATTTATCGTTTAATGCGAGATGTGATCAGAAATCAATGAGATCATTCACTTTGAAATCTTACATTTATACGTACGTAATATATCCAACTTCTTTAAGTACCTACTTAGTTGAAGATCTCAACGTATTTATTTCTCAATAGGTACGTACATATTAATTTTTATTACTTTATAACAACTTATTATTGACAGCTTTAACATTCTTCAACATTTTTCCTTTTTCTCACTAAATTAACTTCCTCGTTTCAATAATATCTTGTATCTGTTAAATGTAAACAAAAAAGACAGGTACCTTTTGTACAACCAACGTATTTTATATGTATTGGCGTTGAATGGTAATTTTAATGGCGTTTTTATGTAACAAGCTGCAAGCAATTTTATTGGTTCAATAAATAGCGATTGCACAACCGAATTGAACAGTACTTGAATTTAGTGTCTCGTTTTATAACCCTCTTGGCGGTTGGTTTATTGGTTTTTAATATTTTATTGTATCGTTCATTACATTGCAGACTAAACTGGGCGCGAAATTTTCCAATCGTCGACACCGTAAAATTTTCCCTCGTATATTAACGCCCAAATTTGTTTTGTCACGTATTATACCTAGCATTCTTTAGGAAACAGAACAAAATCAATTTCTTTATTTCGGAAACATAAGATAAGGAGATATACGAGGCTCTATAATAGGTGAAGTTTAAGTTTCTCCGCCATCATAAATAATGAATGGTAAACGACATATTTTTCTTTAACTAATTGCCTGAGCGTATCTAGTAATGTGCAGAAACAAAGCTTCAACTTTATTTTTTTCGGTTCTAAAGTTGTCGCAACGAAAATGAAAAATTCTCCAGTGTTCATTCTGATTTTTCCGATCGACTCATTCGATTTAACATGTCTGACTCTTGCACTATACCCAAATGAGTACTGATGGATGCTGGGAAACTGCATCATCATCGTTATCAGGATTTTCTACCGTACGCTTCGGTTTTCCTTCTTGTAACTTACATTTACGTGGTCGTCACTGTTGACAATTCGACTTAAACAAATGGAATAAAAGTACAGTACATTGGAAGTCTCAGTTCTGCAGACCACTAGAGACGATTGTTTTTTTAACTTAGAACATTGTTCTTTTCAAACTCTGTTGTCTAACATAAAAAAACTTTATGTTATGATGGATAGTGGCATTAGTTTAAAATATAAAGTGATTAAAATTGATTTTTCAAGAAATTTGATATCGAACTCAAAGAACGGATATGTTAACCCAGTTTTGCGGACGAATTCGATTACATGACAAGGGCGTAGTTCTAGTAACTGAACTTGATTGTAATTTATGATGAATGTTGGGTTTATTTTATAAGAGGTTGACTTCTACAGACATGTTATTATTCTCTGTAAAACAACAATTGATCATTAATCTTATGTGTGCAGGTTACAACTTATACCATTAGATACCAGACTGAGATGAGATGAACTTGATCAAAGGGTGTAAATTTTATCAGTCTGATTTCTGATTAAAACATTTTCCCAAGCGTATACTGTAAATGTTATTATTTTGATGCCGTTCTCTGCTTTACACCAACAGTAAAAGTATAATTGTGTGTTGATAAACAATTGGAAAAGTGAAAATGCAAAATGTAACGCTTTTCAATTTTAAGTCGTTGGCTTTGAAAGTTTTCCTAATAATTTATTAATCGACAAAATTTTTTGTAATTATTCCACGATTTGGAAAGGGGCGCTTATATGTCGACTGCGGCATTTTGTTTTTTTTACGACAGCACATCAGTCGCAGGGTTATGCTATGTGTACCTCCGTTGTTCTTCTGGCAAAAGGACCTAATGAAAGTGTGTTTTCAAACAAAGTAGCCGCTGTATGAATTNTTTTCCCAAATTATCGGGACGTCGATTTTTCCGATTTGGATTCAAACGGATTAGAAGAAGGAAACGAGAAGTTTGAAAATAACGAAGAGGATATTTTGGCATTTGGTGAAATTACAAAGGAAGATGCAAAATATATTATGGATTTGCATGGGCAGCTTGTACATAATTTTACAAAAACCGAGTGGTTAGATTGTGAAAAAGCAACCAACGTACCTTTGGATATTTTGTAACCATCGACATTGAAACAGATTTTGAATATTATTTTAATTGAGAAGTAATTCTGTAACTTTTGAGAAAAAAAATTTGAAAATTGTAAATAAAATTTTAGTTTACATTATTTGGTTGGTCCCCGTCAGGTTCGGATTTGGAAGGTTGTGCCTACTGCATTTTTAGTCGAATAAAATTATTTTGTATTTTAGTTGACGATCGTAAATGCGATGAATAAATGACAATAGAATAAATAGAACACTTGGCGTATCGTCTTTTGTAGCAGAGATAAAGCTTTTAAGTCCTGAATCTCGCCACGGGTGAAATTTATGACAATCATGAAGGACCTAATCTTATCTCCGCTGAACTTGCGACTTGCGGTTCTAGGCGGCAGCAATTTCTTCGTTGTAGTCGGATTTCACCGAACAATATTGGCTTTCTTTTCTTTTATGCAGAATCCAAAAGTAAAATGTATGTATTTTGGTATAATGCAGCCGCACAACTACATACATACATACGTTTAAAATTTAGCGGAAGACGATATGATATACGCATGTACGTATATGCATAAATAGACGGTGTGTTCGTTTGGGCAGATTCACAAAACTTTTATTTTCTTTTTATTGACTCTTTAGTTGCCAGCATTGTTTTCTCAAATAGGTCAGCCTATATCCCCAATCGAATACACATTTACATACCATTGTTTTATTTAATGGTAAGCTATAAAATTTTGTGTTTTTTCCTGTTAATTATAAATTCTGCTCGCCTATTGGAAACAGTTGTTATTTATATTGATTAGAAAAACTGCAGCCAAAATAACAATTAGTGACTTTCGACTGATTGCTTTATTTATCGATCAATTTTGAGAGATAATACGTACAAAATTTACCTACACTTATAGGCAGTCAGCTAGTGGTAGTTTTGTTAGCGCCCCATTTCCTCATTTCTGTCTTAAAGAGGTAGGTTTGAAAACTTATGTGGATGGATACTGACCACAATAATGTGAAAATTAGAGTTCGATCGCATGTCTACTAACATCAAACAAATAGAATGGAAAATTGATTTTTAAAACGTTAGATAGACGGTTCACATTATTGCAGGCTGCATATACATCCACATACTTTCCAACCCTCTTAAAGACAGAAGATAGAAAATGAAATCTACGACTTTCTGGCGGTCTGTTAAAGCGATATATAATCAGTAGATTTTCACTTCTTTCTTAGTGTTCGTCGCTTTTCTTGTGTGTACTTAGTGATCGGTTTTTGTGTTTTGCCATTATTAGGCAAAGATAAGTAGCAACTGTGTTCTGCCGGATATAAAAATATATTTTGATAGGTAGGTCGACGTGAAAGAGTTTAAGCGCTAAACATTTTCAAGTGTTTGCATTGTTATATAAACTAGGGCACGTTAATTGCGGAATAAACCGGAAGTCGATGCAGACTGTACGCCAAGGGATTTTTCATTTGGTGATGTCGTATTTTCCTTTTTAATTAAACGGAAATGAATCGCCTGTTTAGGAAACGGATATATCGTACTAAAATATATTTCAGTACACTTACGAGTAACTATACAGATTAGGACAAAATTTTGCTTGATGGGTTTTTTCCATCCGTATTCATCTGTTAGAAAGGAAACCATTATATCAGCATCAGTAAAGAACAAAACAACATGTGAATATAAAAGGTCGATTTTAAATTAGTTTAGCAACAAATTATAATTTTCTTTGATAAGTACTCATTTATTATTATTGGAAAAGCAAATTCAAATTACTAACGTAAGGTGGACAATGTGGCAGTGAGTGGTGTGCTTAAAGCGTTTCCAACGTTCTTAGCAAATTCCATTCTCTAAATCCATCGATTGCATTAATCAAGTTCCAATTACTTTGAGAATTAATTTTCGTTAAAACAAATTAGGTCAATTCGATGTTTGAAAGTTCAAGATAATACTTATCCCAATTACCAATTAGTTCGTAAGTTGTGCAGTCTTTAATTGGGCAGAAAAAGAAAATAAGAGACCCAACTTTAAGCAATCAAAATTGTAAGTTTATAAGTAAGAACAAGTACATTAAGATTTGTGCAATTATTACAGTTCGTTAATTTTTTTAATATACCCGACTTTTACTTGTTTTCTTTTCTGAGTTAAACAGATTTGTTTGAGTAATGTGTCGTCCCAAAATTTCGTTTCTACGTTAGTGGCATCCGGCCATCGCGACCTTTTGTATAGGCCAGGAGGTTGTGGGGGCAGTGCCACCTAAAATGCGGAGCAATTTTTAGATAATTCGGTTTAATTCGGCTTGAGAATATTTTGAGATATCATTACCCCTTTGATAACAATAGGTTTGGGTGGACTGTAATCTTTTTGCATGGTGGTAACATAATCGTTTGGGAAATTTGTACAAACAGAATCGGTAGATTTTTCAATAAAACAGGGCTGCAAACTGAAACATGCGTGATCGTTGGTGTTTACTTAGATAAGTATTCATACTAGTGTCGTGTACTTACCCCTGAAAAGAATAGTAACTAACTAAATATTTATTAGTATTCGGAATAACGTGATGGTGCTTAGTTTTTATTTGTTCTAACATAGTCCTGGTCGTGGTAGTATACGGCTCGTTAGACAGACAACCCAGACGGTTATAGTTGGCTAGATGTAGGTTAATCTTATCAGGGGCGAAGGGGTCGTTATCTCGAGGTCTGCTTTCTCTATCTTTTTCCCAATCCGATATTTTTATACCGCTACCGTAGTTATTTTGCGTGTACATGATCCTTAAGTTAGGTCTCCTGTTCCCAATAGGTTTGTCGGGCATTTGCAGCTAAAACACGTAGGTACGTACATGATTCCATAAAGAACACTAAATACGGCGTATTGAATAACTTACGATAAATGGGGCCATTTTAAAATTAATAGAAAAAAAAAAAATAAAAAATGTACAAATTACGAAATGTCTTATTATATTATGTCATTATAATTTGAGGTTTATTTGATTTTGATTATTGATAATTTGAAATCTAAGAAACCTCCTCAACCATGACAAGTTTGAACTAAACGTGAATTAACTGGCTGTTGTGCGAATAACAACAAGCCCACGACAAACCATAACACAACATTCCAAATTTAAAAAGACGTACACAACTACTTTAGTTAATGTGCAAAACACGCACTTTAACAGGTTCGTATAAATAAGTGCGCAAAAATATCGAAGGGATTTAGATAAGATACTTTTTGAAATGAAGGGTAAATAATATAGAATATAGGTACTTATTATATTTCCCATCATGTACAGTAATTTTACGGTCCGTTAAATGACAAAGTGGCGCCCGAGCAAATTGCAAATTGCTCTCGCTCACCGTCACACAATGTCGGACTTGACGGAAATTCTTGGATACATGGAAAGGGCACCATACACGTACATACATCTTCGTGTTATGTACAACCCTTAAATGGAGAGAATGTACATTCTAAATGAGAACTTCACACTTCTTATTAACACGATTTTAAGAGCTAATGCAAAAATTAGAGAGAGATTTTTAGTGGGTATCTATTTAGGGGACATAAAGGGCTAATTAGATGCAGTAGTAGAGACAAGAGTAAAATTCGGCAGAGAAAGACCTTATTGTCAGATTACTGTTGGCAAATAGTTAAGTTGTTCTAGTTTTCGGGAAATGTGAAGAGATTAGCTCAGGATAAGAAAGGATAGTGGAGGTGCGCGTCCAAGCAGTCTTAGGACTGACGACCTATGTTACGTAAAGTTGTCAGAAAGAAAAATAGATCTAGTAAGTTTGAAGAACAGTAAAAAGGTGGAACTCTAGAGAAATCCCTGACTCATTTTTCGTACTTTTGTGTAGGCGTAGGTCAAGTTTTTTGCTGACAATTTGCTTCTTATTAATTAACAGCTTATACGAAGTAGATTTAAGATTGTTGTCGCCTAAGCACTAACCATTTTCTTGCTTTTGTTAGTGCTGATTTTTTTCCATTCCAGACCGACTTTTCCCGACATTTAGAAGAAATCACTAAACAAACAGAATACCTCGTTTTAAATGTCATCCAAAAACTGTTTATTAAAGGAAACAAAGAGAATGCAGTTAAACTTTTGTTTGAATGGGAAAATTGCATTTCATATCTTCATAAAGGTATTTTTTATTAACAATTTAAAATAATAGTAAAACATAGTTGTTATACATACACATACTACACATAGGTACGTATGTATATAAATATATTGATTAACGTTGGAGAAATTTGTTTATCGAAGATCGGAATAGAGTACTTTCTTTAAGGTTGTATAGAAAGCCCGTAATTTTCAGTATTCTCCTTTTCATTATGGCAGCAATATTAATTCAAATTCCTTTCAAACGTCGTTATTGAAAGACCATGATCGTCGATCGACGATCGTCGTAGTTTGTGGGAGAGGCGGCTCTTCCTCCGAAAATGATTGATTGCTTCTACGGTTCTCTTCGAATTTCCCACAATTGTTTAAATTGCACTTTTTCTTTCTCCTTAATCATTCAACTCTCAAAGTCTGCCTATTGCTTTATTATTTCTCAATTCAGTGAAATTTACTTTAATTCCATTTTAACTAATTAATAGATACAAACAAATTACTTCAACTTGCGTACTTAATGGGTAATCGTTTTAATATTAAACACCAGTAATACTCAGGAATGGTATATACCAATTTTCATTATTGATACAGAGGCCAATGAACAGACGATGACTGAAGTATCAAAACTGTTCTTAGCAAAGATTGAATCGTTGAAAATGTTGTGGAACGACCTTATTAATTTCGGTCAGTTGGATGCCGATTGTTTTTCTTTAATAGAGAAACTTCAGAACAGGGGTAAGTTCCTCGGCGATACGGTGAACGCAGAAGGAAATTTGAATGCCGGTGGTAAATTCGAATGGGTCGATTCTGTACTCGTAAAAGTGAGTATCATTTTATTTTTCAGATACGATAGTTATTCGATTATGTATGTAACAAATTAAATTAGATTGTGATACAAAAAACCGTGGAAAATATTGACGCTAACAACGAAACTTTTATATTATGTCTGTATCGTTTATATTTTAGTGTTTGCAAAATGGTTATTGGTTATTAATCGACGATGTTAATCTATGCAACGCTGCAGTGTTGGATAGATTAAATGCGGTATTAGAACCGAACGGTGTCCTTACAATCGGGGAGAAAGGTGTTGATAAAAACGGTGAACCGGTGCAGATAAAACCACACAAAGATTTTCGCTTATTTTTAACTCTGGATCCCCGAAATGGCGAAATTTCTAGGTAAATTTACTCTTTTCGCGATATTATAAAAATAAATAATCTATCCCCTTAAACTCTACCCTGAGAAGTCATTTTGGCTATGGTCTTTATAATAACGAATTGTTGATATCGTCGTTTCTCTTATCTTATTATTAAGTTGATTTTATTTATAGAGCGATGAGAAACAGAGGGTTAGAAATATATATGTTAAACGATGATGAAATGAATGAGCTCGATTTAAAAAGTTTAATTAGTCTGGAGGGATTAAAACACAAAGATGTAGTAGAAGCGCTCATAAACGTCCACTATTTTATTAAAGAATTAATTATAGGTGAGTCGAGAGAGCGCAGTGGTTTTTGGGAATTAGATTAAGTTTTAATAATTTTAGGAGATAAGCCTGATGTCAGACACATTTTGCAAAGTGCATTTTTAATTTCGCAACAAATATCTCGCGGAATCGCTTTGGAACGTGCATTTGTAAGGAGCATTTTGGACGTTTATTTCAAAACGAGAAATATTGCCGCTTTCAATACAAACGATCCCGAAGTAGTTATCATAACTAAAATTAAAAGTGTACTTGAAAATTTAACTGATTCGCCACTGTTACATACAACGCTTAGCACAAAAGATCTCGAAATCAGCTCCGATTTGGAAAAAATTCGACAGCAAGTCTCAATTCTAGAAAGTCACTTGCCATCCAAACCGCATGCAAATGTTGACGACTATAACAGAAAATTAATTCAGTGGTTACTTATACATTCCTATTCGATATCGAATAAGCATGATATTAAATTGAGGTGGAAATACGTGGACGAATTATTGAAAGGAGCAAACGCAAAAACTTACCAAACTTGTAACGATTTAATACGCGACGAAATATTAAGGATCGTCGAAATGGAAAATAATAACGACGATAACGATATTCCTATTGATACGGGGTGGTTGTTGGACAATATTTATTTGCAAAACGATCCAAATTCGAGAAACAGGCTCCTTTTAAGATTACACTTCATGTCCACAAAGTATTTATACGAACGTAAGGGGGAATGGCGAAAGGAAAACATGACGCTGTTACAATATATGACCAGTGTAAGAGAAGAAAAACAAAAGAACAATATCGACGACGTTGTCGTTGAAAACTTTTTCACCCTTCTCGACGAATACGACGCGTTTATTTTGGAAAAGCTAAAAAACAAAAATTTAGTAATCAGTGACTTCGACACGGTGGCTGCGCTGGCGCTACTGCAGTGGAGGTTTGCGTTTTATCAAAACACGAAAATTAATATCCAGGGGATTAACATAACTGCAATGAAAACGCTATTGTCCGATCTCCATTTGCATTATAAATGGTTCTTCAAGTTTTCGGTCGGTCTCATTTCGAAAATATTAAAGGAGACACCCGATCCTAGCTTGCAACGTCTAATCGATACCATCGGATCTCAGTTGTCTACGCATTTTTCCCTGGCCTATAAAATAGGAAGATTGTATGCGAAAAAATCCGCCACACCTACACCGTTTGTAAACGAAAACCAAATCAAAAACAACTTAATCTACGAAGAAGAAATGAAAAAAGTCGATTTGTACAAAGGAAGATCGAACTTTAACGTTATCGTAAAAAAGAATGCTACCGATACTAATCGAAGAAACAATCTGATTGAAATTAAGTTCATGTTAAAATGTGGACAGGAAAATATCGATTTTCATCCATTGAATCAGGCAACGACGGTGCCAGACGAAGAAAACGTTCTCAAGGATAGTGGTGTACAGATTCTTCCCGTTTTAGATTACGTTTGTTCTTTAGCAATGCTATCGATAAAGTGGCAGCGTGACTTGACGAAAGTTGACGAAAACTTCCTAAAGAATTCTAAAACCGTGCCGGCAGATCTCGCAGGATTATTACTAGCGTACGATAAAATGCGAGAGCCAAGTTTTCTATACGAAATTAAAACGAAATTGTTCTGGTACCAAATAAAGTCACCCTCCTCTGTTCCGAAACGTTACACTTATTTCAACGTTCATCAGTCCGCAAGTTCAAACGATACAACACCAACGGTAGTACTTCCCATGCATACACCTCGACTTGTGTATCTTACCGTCGACCTATTGATAACAGACTCAAACCCTACGAATATTTTTAACACAATAACTCTAGGAACTTACAGAGAAAATGAAGATTTGCTCGAAACTTTCAAATCCGTATTATGGAAAAATACACGGCAATTGTCCTACAACGATTACGATTTCATGTAAGTTACCTAAAATATCGAATTAAATTTAAAATTAGAAATGATTTCCTTTCAGAACGTGCGAAATTAAATATCTTCTTAATGAGTACAATAACGTAATGACCGTTTTATTAAAGGCCCTGACAAACGATTCAAAAACTTCAAGTGCAAGTAGCAATCATTTCGAAACGACTGAAATGTGTTTAAGTGAAATAAAGAGATTCGAAATGAAATATCCGACACACAAGGCCGACTTAAAACTACTTAAATATCTAATAGATAAATGTTTAAACGAAATTAAAAAATTGGACGGTAGCATCGAAAGTAACTCCTTACACGCAAATTTAAATCGAATATCAAATGTTTATTTAGTCCTCAACAACATAAAGATTTGCGTCTATTCAAAATTACCAGCAGTAGATCATTTGACAAAAGTTAAATTTAAAAAGCAGCGCCTTTCTCAAATTATAAACGAATTGGAAATTCTTAATCGAAGTTTCGAATTTGAAAATTGTGTGTATAGTGACGACCGGAGGTCGTTGCATCCCCTGCATTTCCACGTCGATCGGAAAATTAACGAGTTGCAATTGGAAAATGAAAAGTACGAAAAGTTTGTTACTGTTAGACCTGAAAATATCAGTTACCAGTTAATCCTAAAGGTACGTATTTTTAATTGTATGTAGGAAGGAAGTAAATAATTGTGAAAACAAAATTATTTTGGTAGGAAATTTCCCACATCAACGCTACAATTTTATCGCAACAAAAGTTGGATAACTTTTACTCCGAATCGGATAAATATTTCACTTTATTAAGCAGTGCTATTGAACACGACAAAGTAATTGACGATGGTTTATCAGAGGAACAAATACAGAAATTCATCAACATATCGCAAAATAACATAAAAACTTACGAAAACGCAATCGAAGATGTTTTGGAAAGGTATCGCATCGGTTTTCCCGATGTAATTGAACCATTTTTATCCACAGTTACCGAATATCTGTACGGATACATTCTAAAAGTTGGCATATTAAAAAAAATGCTCCTACAATACAAAGCATCAAAACAGAAAATTAATCTGCACAAGTTGGTGACCAACTTTGTTCAATTCCCTTCAATTCCAAATAATTATCACCAACTATTACGCATGATTAACGTGTGTTCGAACGTTTTCAAGATTTTTTTGAAGCATAACACTGAGGATGAAATCGAAAACATATCGAAAACTGAAAAGTCGAGGTAAGTAAACAAAATATCAAGTTATTTGCAGTATATCGCCATCTACTGTTAACTGCAGTATTTAACCAATTAATTTTTATACGAATTGTTTGAAAGTAAAGGATCTTTGTTTGCGGTAGTCCTAATAGGAACGACTAGATATTGACCAACGATTGGTTGTACGTGAACTAATTGCGATTGTGACTAACTAATTGTAGATTGCTCCTGATCAAGATCAAACGGGTGAGTTGACGAAAAGGAGCGTCATTGTAATAATATCTGTACATAAGAGTATGTGACACAATATCTGGTCGTACTTATTACAAACATCTTTTACATCTGCAATATTTTAAGCGTTGGACAAAAGGGTGGTCATGTCTATTACATACTTTTTGTAGACTTGTTTTTATTGCCATCCAAGAGGTTTATAATTTGAATGTGATTATTTCGAAAAATACGGAAAAGTTGGAGAATAAATTATTTAAACATTTCGACTGTCTAATAGAATTATTTGTCGGTGCTTGGACAAAACAAAAAGATTTGGAAGAAGCCAGAAAAAAGGAGAAAGAAGCTTTATATAAAATACGGTATGCAATCAGTAAAAATAATAATCTGTGATAAAGGTAAATAAAAATTTATTTCAGGATTAAAACAGAAGATGAAATTGATCAGGAAGAATTTTCTCAGCTTTTCCCAAATTATCGGGACGTCGATTTTTCCGATTTGGATTCAAACGGATTAGAAGAAGGAAACGAGAAGTTTGAAAATAACGAAGAGGATATTTTGGCATTTGGTGAAATTACAAAGGAAGATGCAAAATATATTATGGATTTGCATGGGCAGCTTGTGCATAATTTTACAAAAACCGAGTGGTTAGACTGTGAAAAAGCAACCAACGTACCTTTGGATATTGTGGGTCCTCTTTTAAAAAAGTTTAAAATCTTTAAATTGATTCTTGACGAAAGTATATCTTCAGCAGATTATCATTTAGACGCCCAAGCTATCGGTAGTTTGAACGTTTTAGTAGATGTTGCACAAAAGTTCGGACGAACCGATTTTGGTATGTTTAATTTTTAATTAATGTTACATTACACATTCGTTGTCTGTGTGGTTTTCAGAACAAAATTCTTCGAAATTAGCTCAGAAAAAGCGAAATAATTTTTATAAAGATTCAAATACAGACGAAGTAAAAAATTCCTATCACATATTGAAGGAGCTCGAAAACGAAATCGACAGGTTATTAAATGAATGGCAAGATCATCCTGGACTTTTAACCGTAAGTTAAAATCAGTTTTGTTATTTTTCGTTTTCAATTATTTTATTTTTCCTTTCAGATAAAAAGTGTAATAGAACGTATTTACGAGTTTCCGATAACGAGTCCACTTTCTCGTTTTTTGACTGGCTTTGAAATGCTCTTAACAAAATGCCACGAATGGGAACAAAACGCCCATTCGGGCGTCAGTTTATCAGCTAATATTCAAAATTTGGTTCAACAAATCATTGCTTGGCGTAAAATTGAAATGAACATGTGGAAAGAATCTTTAAACGGTGTATACGAAAGGTATGTAAATACAATACAGCACCTACAGCAGGATAATTAATTGATTGAATATATAAGGAACATACGTTCTTGGTTCAAGTTCAAAGTTGATGATATTAATAACTTTATTAAATAGAGTCGAATAGAATATATATTTGAACATATTTTAGGATGAACGAGCCAATAACCAATTGGTGGTTTTACATGTATAACGTGAGCAAACAGTTTATATACGAGGGTTGTTTAGACAAAAAAGAACTGATCGAAACTTTACGGAAATTTATTTTCGAGTCCAACTTGGCCGAATTTAACGGCCGTTTAGGCTTACTTTACACATTCCATTGTCATGCTGTTCACTTGGAAAAGAATGATACGAGAGGTATCTAATAAAAATTAATATGCTTACGTTGGATACCTATTAGTAACAATTAAATTGCAGACCAATTGGTTAACATTTTATGGAATATTTATCAATATTTCAAACAGTACGAACCCATAGTGGAAAATAAAATTAAAGATCTTCGATCACCTATAGAGAAAAAACTTAAGGATTACATAAAAATCGTCAAATGGAAAGATATAAGTTACTGGGCGATAAAAGAGACTTGCGAAAAATCCCACAAAACGCTTTTCAAGCACATGAAGGAATTTGAGGTTTGTGTATGATAAATGTTTAATTTCTTGACGCACTCTTTTTTTCCTATTTTTTTCAGAAAGCATTGAACAGTCCTGTGAAACTTTGCCTTTCGAACGTCACAAGTCAAATTAAAAACGAAGAAAATGTTGGAATTTGGGACAGGCCCCAAAGACAAGTCCCGAAAAATTATCATTATACCATCGATTCGTCTAATTATGTTGCAAAATATGCAATATCAAAAGTAAAAACTGATAATAAATTAGAAAAGGGGAGTAATGTTAACCATGTCATATTTCAGAAAATCTCAAGTGACGAAGCGCACTCGAAACTAGATAAATATTTTTTAAAATCTCGCACATTTTGCAAAGAAGTGATCGATTCGTGTCAATATCCGATATTAATAAAAGCCCTGGATTGTTTCATTGCAGAAATAATTGAAAGAAGTACACACTTACAAAATATTCAGGTATAAAATCAGGTAATAATAATTAGTCAATAAAATTTGTTACGTTTTACGTTGTAGGTCGACTCATCGCTGCCGAAAACTAAACAAAAATCTAGTTTAAAAAGCATTTTGCAACAAAAACGTAAAGCTCTGTCGGATTTGTTCAAAAATTTGACGAAGATAGGGTTTTCCTATAAAACAGGTTTAGTTATAGAAACTACCAGTAACGATCTCGATGATTATTTACTAATGAAACCGATAGATTTATCAGCAGGTCTAAAACAATTTCCGCAAAGGTTAGTATTCTTTTAACAAAAACAAAATACTGTGTAATATAATACGTACGTATACTCGCAGATATTGTAAAGTACAGGGATGTAAAATGGGTTGCCTACTCTTTCTGTTTTTCCCATGTTTTTCATACATAGCAAATAGTATTTGTATTTTATTCAAATCATTTCTATTGTATGTCGATTTCAGTCATTACAACGAAAAAATAACCACAATCTGGGAAGGATGCGAAACGTATTACATAAGATCCCTTATTAGACTTAACTTGTTAAAAAATATTTTATCAAAACCTGCTTCTGACTTAGGGGCACAAAACGTGGAAAGATGTCGCGGATTCGCTACCCATTTGGTGGTATGTTGCATGCTTTTATACTTATTTTTTAAATATTTTCAGTTATATTTATTTAATTCTTAGAACATAAATAGCGAGACAGCATCTCGTAGTACAATACTACAACAGTAGTAGGAAATGAGCGGCACCCTTCCTTCTCTTTCCAGCGCGACCTAATTGACACTCCCTTCCCTATGTGTACTCTTCGTCTACACTTTGTTAGAATGGAAATGGTTCTGCACATTTCCTATCGCTATTGTTGTATTGTACTGTAGGATGCTGCCTCCAGGTAGGTATTAATCTCTGATTTAATTCGACAACTATATTTTTAGCAATCGATTCAGAAACAAAAAGCAAAAGTAATCGACAGTTTCGAAATCCTTTACAATATAAGAAAATGTAAAATACATCTGACAGACATTTGCGAGCAAAACACTATCTTCCAAACACATATGCTGGAAAAATTAAAGGATTGCCTTAGTAATGTTGTTATAACCATGGAACAATATAAAATATATTTATTAACCGCACCAGAACAACCCGTATTCGATAGTAATTTAAAATTAAACATTCCTGTCCTTATGCCAGAACCTATAGACTATATTCATTATAAACACGACCAGTGTTGGGATAAAGCTATGTGTTTGGTACAAGAAGCAAAAGATAAAGCTCAAAAACTACTGTCTAGTCTAAAACATTATGACAATTCAGATTTTAAATTATTTGCACTGCACGACACCGAAGAAATCGTTTTCGAATTTACTACCATCGTCGATAAAATTGTTAATTTATCTTCAATTATTGGCAATACACCACTAGCCGATGCTTTAAAACATCTTAAAGCAGAAATACGCAGCGTATCTAACCAGTTGGTTATTAACGCGAATAATTTGTTAAAAGTTAAGGAAATAGTGACACCGGACGAATTTCGAAAAACGATCAAAAATTTGGAAGATCATGTTCTCTTGTCAATACAGAATATTTACAAGAAATACGAAGAAGATATACAGAAAGAGAAGAATAAGAGTTTGGAAAATACAGATGAAGATCTGGCGTTGAATGATAATCACCTAAAAATGTTAATATTACAGAAATTGGACGATGATATTGAATTAATTAACATGAAAAATATCTTGACCGATATTCACAAGATCATTTCGAATATTAATACCATGGACAGCAAGACAATATTAGAGATAAAAACAGATTTATCAAAGACGTTTCCTTTGTTGGAACAACTTCTTCTTTTTTATCAATATTTCGTAACGCAACAAGTTTTGACCTACAGGATAACGTCGAAGTTGACTTCAATAATTCTCAACATCTTCATAGATTTATTAACAAAAGTGAGTAAAACAAATATTAATATGTACCAGACAAGAATTATGAAAGAAAAAACAAATTGTAGGGATTTTGTTCACCTTCTGACCTTCCGAATGAAGAAACTAATGAAGCAGAAGGGGAGTGTCAAAAAGGTGGGTTTGGTCTAAGTGAAGATCAAGGAGAGAAAGATGTTTCAGAAAGAATCGAATCCGAAGATCAACTGGACGATGCCAAATCCTTTGGCGAAGAAAAAGAGAAACAAGATAATCAGCCAAACAAAGAAGAAGAAAAAGGCATCGAAATGAGCGAAGATTTCGATGCAGATTTACAAGTGAGTAAAATTGTAACGAATCGTACCAACTTTTTCTCATTATCTTTTTCTTTTTTGCTTTTAAATTTTTTATAAGGACGTCCAAAAAGATAAAGAAGACGAAGAAAATTCGAATAACGGTTCTGATGCTGAAGAACAAATGGGAGATGTTGATAAGGGCACCGACAGACTAGATCAACAGCTGTGGGGTTCAGACGAAGAAAATGATACTAAAGGTTATTTTTGTTTTACTGTTATTTAAACTACTATTACAGTGCAATAATTAATTATTTGTAGATGAAACCAAAGAAGATATAGATGGTGGTGGTGGTGAAAAATTAGGGGAAGAACAGATAGGCACAGAAACAGCTGAAGAAGACAGTACAGAAAATAAAAAACAGAAACTGAAAGATATCGATAATTTTAAAGAACCGGAAATTGATGACGATCAAATCGATCCACATCATGGTAATCATCCAGAATATCCAGAACCGGAAGCTCTAGACCTTCCAGACGATTTTGGTCTGGACAAAGACGACAACGAAAAGGAAGAAGCACCCGAAGAAAATCCCTTTGATATCGACACAATAAAAGGTTCGATAGTCGATACAACTGTTTTACATTTGTTTAACTTCCTGTGTTTTTTTTTTGTTTCAGATCAAATACCATTAAAGGACACATTAGAATCCAACGACCAACAAGACGACGAAAAAGAAAAAAGTAACCTTGAAGATGAAAAAGGAGAAAGTGAGGAGGAAAATGGTATAATTGAAGAAGAAGAAGAAGAAGGAGAAAGAGAGAAGGATGATCAATTAGGCAGCGAAGAATTGGAAGAAGATGATAAGAACAAGAAGACTGACAAAGATAACAGCAGCGACATTGAATCGTCTGAAATGAAAGATGAAGATGCTAGCGTAAAATCTGGTCTAGATCAGAACCAAAGCACAAATGAAAAAACACAGCCAATGGAAATCGATAATTCCGAGACTTCAGACAACGTAAAAATTTGATAGTTAATGACGAATAACAGGTTTAAATATTATTATGTATCTGTGTTTTAGGCGCAAACAACAGATATGAAAGCCGTTGCTGAATTTCAAGAGAATCGAGATTCCTTTATGGAAGAAGAAAGCGAAGACAAAGAAGGTATCGGACAGTCTCAAACGGAAAAGAGTAAAACTGGCCATAAAACTCCCGCAAACGCGTTTGAAGATATTTCAAATTCAAAACAAGACGAAAGCAAAGAAGAAAGGAAAAGAAAACCGGGAGAAGCTGATTCAGAAAGAAGTTTAGGTACGTAATAACTAATGTTTGTTTTTTATAAAAACGGATAAAAAAATATTATATGTTCAAGGTGACGTAAAAGAGCCAGTGAAAAAGAAACTAAAAACGTTTAATATTCAGAATTCAAATGAATCATTGAAAGAAGAAAATGAAGATGATAGGTCATATGAACAACAAACGGAAATGTACAAACACATCAAGGAAACTACAAAGACTGCTGTTCAGGTAAATATTGTAATATTAAAAAATTATAGAATGAAATAACAACTTTTTTGTTTTCAAATTATAGACTCTCGATTTTGCAACAGATGAACAAATACAACAACAGCAAGAAGAAATATCTAAATTGAAAGAAGAAGAAATAAATGAAAATATTTTAACAGATACGACAAAATTAGTAAAGGACGACGAGGAGGAAGAAATAGATATACTCAATCAAATAGAAAAATGTCAAGGCGAACAGACAGAATTTGATGGAAAGAAAGATATAAATACTAATAAAAAATCCGAAGGTAAGTAAATAGATGTAAATGATAATAAACAAAAAATAAAATGGTTTTCTAGGTGGTGTGAGAGAGGAAGTATCGGAGATTAATATAGAGGGTGATATTGTTGAAACCCATACTGCAAGTCGAGCTGCGGAAACAATCTATTGTACTCAAGATGCCCTTTTCACCTTAACAGAAAGTCATTTAAACAATGAAGAAATTGCGAAAATCAGAATTGAAGTAGAAAACCAACTGTCTGCTTGGAATGAGGTATGTACAAATATGTCCGTGTTATATTATGCAATATTACTGTACTTTAATTCCAGATACGGTCAGATGTAGAAGCTGAAAGAGTTTGGGAGAAAATTTCTTCAGTTACGACTCCCTTAGCACAAATCTTATGTGAACAACTTCGTCTGATATTAGAACCTACCCAAGCGTCCCAACTAAAGGGAGATTATCGCACGGGTAAAAGAATTAATATGATGAAAGTTATTCCTTACATCGCTTCCCAGTTTCGTAAGGACAAAATCTGGCTGAGAAGGACCAAACCTTCGAAAAGAGATTACCAAATCGTTCTAGCAATAGACGATTCCTCAAGTATGTGCGATAATAGATCGAAGGAGCTCGCGTTCGAGAGCGTCTCTCTTATATCGAAAGCCCTTACCCTACTAGAAAGCGGACAATTGTCGATATTGGGATTTGGAGAAAACGTGGAAATTTTACATAAACTGGGCGATACTTTCTCAGAGAAGAACGGTTCGAATTTAATCCAAAAGTTCACTTTTTCTCAGAAGAAGACTTGCATTGCAAAATTGGTCAATTTTACGACCGAAATGATGACAGTTAATCCGTCAACTTCTAGTGCCCAAGTGGCACGATTATTGATAATTGTTAGTGATGGAAGAGGAATATTTTGGGAAGGCGAAAATCAAGTACAGCAAGCAGTTAGGAGAGCGAAACTGGCTGATATTTTCATGATATTTGTGATAATTGACAATCCCCAAAACAAAGATTCGATTTTGGACATTCGCATGCCTATTTTTAACGAAGGAAAACTGTTAGGAATCAAGTCATATATGGACTCGTTTCCCTTCCCTTTTTATATTATTTTAAAAGATATCAACTCTCTTCCGGACGTCCTGAGCGAAGCACTGAGACAATGGTTTGAAATCGTGATAAATAATAGTAAAATATAAGCACTTTCGTTTCTTCAACTGAGTTTCTGAGTTCGTTCAGATAATAATAGTATATTTAGAGAAGAAGGTTTGAAGTATTTATCAGGTAAACTATTATTTATTATTATTATCATCGTAATTTTCTTTTTCTTTTTTTTATTTAAAGGACGGTTACAAGTGAATTAGAGTACATTTTAATAAGGATTATATACACAATAAAAAATATGTGAATGGAAAGATTTTTTTTTACTGCCTCAGATGTTTGACCCATTTCTTTAGTAAATAACGAATTAACGAAATTATTAATTAAATAACATTTATTAATGGTTTCGTCGTTTCCATGGTCACTTTGATTATGGTGTTATATACACAAACATGTATTTCCATGACATAAATTTTAAAAACTGATAACCTATATTCGTTTTATACTGTTTTTTTGCATATGAAATACGACTTTTGCCACAAAATATTGATTTGTCTAGAAAATTGCATGACCTGTAATTTTCAACGACAGAAATAATCAATAAAATGGTACGCTTACTAATCCTTAAAAAGAATAAACGTGATTTTTAAGAGTAATGGAAAAGCACATAAGTAACGTGAAAATTAACGCAGGAATTCCAAATTCCCCACCATTTTACGAACCTCCGTTGAGAAAAACTAGCGCGGAAATTATAAACGAAGCTAAAGCTATATTAACAGGTAACAAAAATATATATGCAACATATAATTTAATTAATTTGTTATATAAATTATAACCGAATTTATTGTTGAAACTGTAGGAACTTCTAAGATGGATTCTTGTACGGGAACAAATGTGAGACCTCTCTATACGGAAAGACCATTTACTCCCAAGGAAAAGGACAGAATATTCTTTGGAAAAAAGACCCGGAAAAATAACAGACCCCCAAGTTCGTTTAGGTAACTTTTTCAGTCTAATGTCTTTTTCTTTTTATTCATCACACGGTCTCTTCTAGTTTGCGGTATTTACAAGACCAAACGGAATTAATTATGCCGGCGACTGTAGTGGAATGTAACACAGAAATGGAAACGGAGAACATTCTTATGAAAGCAGACAGAAGAAATTTCGTAAATAATAATAATAATATTTACGACATGTCAAAGTTTAACGAGAACAAAATTTTTAACTTGGAAGTGAAAGAGTTTTTCCCTCAAAAACTTAAACTGCCGGCTCTGGAATCGATAAGGACAACTCCAAAAACGAAGAAAAATTATAAATCGCTTATCTCTTTCGAAACAGGTAACTATTAACGCGTTTCATTTTTACTTTATGTTGTTCTATCTTTTTTATTGTACAGAGATATTTAGACAAATTATTGCAATAATGTTTTTCTAGTTTCAGATGCAAATTCTAATTACAGATCTGGAGAAAAACAAAATGATGAGTACAAGCGTAACGCTTTTAGTTCTCCACAGGAAAGGACCAATTTTTCAGATAATCGATCTGAAGGGTCTTTTAGCAAAATGTCGAGACAAAACAGCATATCGACATGCCTAACATTGCAGCCGCGAAATTTAGATAAGCTTTTTGGAAATAAACAGATAATAGAAAATTCGGAAACTCTTTTTGAAAAAACAGGTTATTTCAACTTTAGTAAAAAGCCGTCCTTTAGTAGTAAAAATACAAAATCGATTTCTATAGAACCACTGGAGCCGTTCAAAAATCTTTCGGTACAAGAGCTGTTAGATGTGTTAAATTGCGAAGAACAGCAAAACAATGAAAACCATGAATATACCGTAAAACTCCTCAAAATTTTATATCAATGTTTGCAAGAAGAACAATTGTCAAATAATAAAATTAGTTCTACACTTAAAATAACAATTTTAAAATGCCTGTACAGATACGTCGAGGCGGAAAATCAAAAGTTGTTAATAAATGTAGCAAAAATACTGTTATTGGTATGTATACATAAACTAAATTAAATATATATAAACAGACACTTTTGGACTTTCAAAAATGTCATTATTGTTTTAGTTGAAGGTAACGGGAAATAATCTTAGTGGTGTTTGTAAACTGATCTTCAAGGTTTCCAAAAATGTCGACAACGATTTATTGTTTCTGGAAGAGAAAATTCTCGGTGGGTTATAAATTTGTGAATTTTTTTTTTTATTAACGCATTTAAATATTCTTACATGCAGATCTATTTTTGGATGCTCTGGGTCGTTCCAGTCCTTTAGAAGACGCCGAAGCTTGTATATATGGATACGGTGCTATTAAATTTTTGACAACCAATTTGGAAATCGTAGAAAACTTACTGAATCTCGGCATTCTTCCACTTATAGTCCTTCATATGAAAATAATTAATAACGCAGTAAGTTTTAAATCGTAGTTTATCCTAAGATTTTGCACAACGTATATTTTTATTATTAAAATGTTTAATTTCAGAAAGTTGAGAACAACCGAAACCAGGATCAGATAAACAACGTGCTATTTCAAATAACGGGCGCTCTAAGGAACCTGGCATCAAATGAAGCAAACTGTGAAAATTTTATTACCACCGGTGCTATTACGCAGTTGTGCACTAGTTTAAAATTATTTTTAAATGATTTTGATATCATAAGCACCACTTCTCGTAACCTAAGGTAACCGATGTTAGTTGAGTTGGTAAAATACGCTTTTATTTACTAATAATATTACTACAGTTGTCTGTCAAGCCTGGATAAATGTTGCAACGAAATATCTGAATGTGATCACCTCTACGCAACGGCAATCGAAATATTAGAGAAATATGCTGGAAACGAAGAAATAATAGTTCGTGTAGCTTATACATTGGGAAACACAGTCGCCAGAAATGATTCAGCTAGAACTAAAGTAACTCGTTATATTTTATACGTATATATATATATGAATTTAAAAATACGGTATAAATATTTCAGCTATACAGAGTGAAAAACTGTACGAGAGTTCTGATAAAACTGTGGAGATTGTACTTGGAGTTGACGTTAAAACGGTGCTCAATGAAATGCGATACCAGAGAAGCAGGGGAAAATTATACCGTAGACGTAATGATAAAGGTGAAAATTTTTTAACGAATGAATAATTCAAAGTGCTTAATTACTTGTACAAATATTTTTACAGATTATCCGCATTATTGCCAACCTATCGATGAATGCGACTATTGGAAAAGATATCAGTAAAAATTTTGGCGTTCAACTTATTGACGAACTTCTAAAAGTTTTAATAAGCAATCCGTTTAAGAGAAATGACGACCTAGTTTTGTCTGTCCTTACAACATTAAATAATATTTCCTACTATTATATAGATATAGAAGAAGATGTATTTTATACAAAAGAAGTTGAAATTATGGATGGTAAATAGTAACAAGTAATGATTTTATTTAAATTGTTAAAATTTATTGATAAAATTTTCAGCTTTACGTGAATATATAACCGGCAAGAATAAAGAAAACAAATTGGAAGCTATGCGAACTCTAGGCAACTTATCAAGATCTAAAATAACAAGAAGTTATATTGTAAGAAACGGAATAATGGATATTCTGACGGAATATTTATGCGAGGGTGCAGTTTATAGACAGTAATGTTTATAATTCATATTATATAAAAAATATGTGTTGTACATTGTAGATGATCGTGAACTGTTAGAAACAACGATTGGAGTTTTTGTGAATTTAATGTCGGATTCACCAGGAAAGGAAGCGTTTCGAAAAAAGGACGGGGTAACAAAATTAACGGAAATTTTAAGGAAACATGGCCAACAGGATTGGAATTTAAGCACTTTAGTTTGCCAAACTATTTGGAATTATTGCATTGATGTTACTAATTTTTACGACTTCATGTCAGACAATGAATTGGAAACGTTAATGACTCTACTGGCAGACCGATTAGGTAGGTGCACAGATTTTTATAATTAACTACGGTATTTAAACCTTGTTTGTATCATTTATTTACCTTACAAAAACACTAACGGCACAGTACCTTCACTATTCAATGGTCAAATATAATGATTTACTGAATTGTAGATGAAGAGAAATTATTTGGTATAAAAGATGTAACGGGAAATGCGGAAATTTGTTCAAGTGCAGAATTTTTGGTTTGGGAAGAGTTTGCTTTTGTGGCTACTAACTTACTCGAAAAAATCGAACATTTTCTCGAACTTCTTGAAACTTCTTCCATTCAACTAAGTACAAAAGATAACAGTAAAAAAGATGCTTCAGTCAACGTTAAAAATACAACAGACTCTAGCACTAATTTAAGCTTTGCAACTTGGTAAAAAGATATAAATATCTATCAGTTTATGTACTTTTTTATTCAATTTTAATTTTTTTACAAGCATTTATTAAAAGTACATGAAAATATATTATAATAACGTTCACGTTAAGGTTCTTTTATACTCCTTAACAAGTCATCGAGAAATAAGATATTTACTTGAATTGATAATCAATTAATATGGTATTTTAGACATTATCTCCTTTACTCGTCGAAGTAAAGATGCATTTTTACCTAAACATTGTTCAGGACCATAGGGGGGTTCGATAAAAACTTGATCTTCAACATTTAACAACGTACCGTTCTCTTTGACACGCACTAAATTTTTCTGCAACCACATTTTTACATTTAACTTTTTTATAAACGATTGCTGTTGTTTATCCTCTTGATAGTTATCGTGGGACAACATATTATCGCAGGTTTGTTGTACAGAAGCAACTTCGACATCCTTGATTGCATGGGGTAAAATTGCGTACAAATTGCCTTTATTATTAAATAATACAATTATTTTTGTTTGAGGATCAATAACATACACAGACCCCGTGTATAATTTATCATCTACTGTTGTCACATTTACAGTTTTGCCAATAAGGTTTTTTATATAATTAACATCGTCTTTATTCAATAACTGTGTTTGATTCATTATTAATTAATATGTTTCACAGCTAATTTACTTTTTGCCAAAAAAAATCAAAAACAAAAAAATTTTACGTTTTATTTGTATAAACGTCAAAAAAAATACATCGTTATCATTATAGATACAATTTTTTCTAATTAATAATCGGATATTCGAATAAATTATAATTGCTTAAGTATTTTATTTTTAAATTATTATTTAAATGGCTTAGTATATCTCTTAAAAAAAGTAATAGAAATGAAAAACATAAAAAATATCTAAAATTATAAATTGTTAATATTTATACTACTTTGAACAGCAACAAAAAGTAATATACCCATTTATTAAAAAGGATAAAGAAGGATAAATATAAAGATAAACATTATTATACATTATAATCATTATAACTTATTATTAGTGCTTAAATTTTATACAATCTTTTAAAGAGGAAACGGAACCCCCTGCTACTTTAAAAGCAAATGCCATTATTGATATCAAGACAAGGTATGCAATTACCAAAGTTGCTGAATACATCTGATACCGGTTCAGTAAGGTAATACATGACACGAGCATATGTGAGGTAAAGACAATAAGTAAATTTGGTTTGTTGCCATTATCTAAAGCATTAAAAAATATGACATTCCAAAATGTATGCAGCAATATAAAACACAATGCCATTGCAGCACTACTAACTACAAACAAGTCATTTCCAGCCTTTAGCCCCATTGTCGCAGGTCCAATTGTATCGGCAAGAACGTTAACAATAGAAAATGCACCACTTATTATTCCAAATCCTAGGCCACTTACATAAGCTAGTATATGCTTGTTTTCTATTAGGTGTGTACTATCGTCTGTTATCTTCTTTAGCCCATTTTGTGCTTTACGTAAAATTTTATATATGCAAAATCGAAAAGCCTCTTGAAATACAACTGAAAAGACCAGGCCAAACACTAGATGATTTCGTAAAGGAATTACAGCAAACCACCACAACGATGATAACAGGAGAGATAAAAGCCAAAAAAATGATGAAGCAATTAAAATTATAATTTTAACAGGATCATCTGCAATTGTAAATACAAACATTGCTAGTGGTGGTCCAAACGCCAACAAGCTGCACCCGAAAAATTCTCCCACAGTCATTTTCCCGTTACACTTCACAATTTCTTTTTAAATCTCGTTTAATAGATCATTCGACTATCAAAATATTAATACTATTAATGTTTTATCAACATTTTTCGATAATTTATCATTAAAACAATCAACATTTCAAACATTTATAACCTTTAAAAGTCAACTGTCAATTGAGAAATGTCAAGTGGAAGACAATAGAAATGGTTGTAAGACATACTTATTTTAATTTCTTTTTTATAAATTGCAATAACGAGTATGAGCATATTCTTATTTTAATATAAAAACAGAACATTGGAGGTAAAGAAAACTAGCATTAATAATGAATATTTCAATTTTTCTTTTCATTTGTATCTATGTTCGTTAGCATGTATCATAGATAAGAAATAGTGGCAACCCATATAAATAATCCTCTAATTTAAACTTTACGAATAAATTGTGCGTAGTTTGCGAGTTCTAAATATGTAAGTAGCGTAATTGTGCATTCATTAGTTTTGCTAGAAAAAAGGAAAATTGTTTCGGCTGTCGATGGAAATTTAATGTCAATTTATTCAACAACTACTGAAAATATCATAATTTAATTGATGCCAGTGGATTGCACGTCACTTGAGCTTGAAGACTCATTGTGAGCTATCGGGATAAGTGGAATTTATCTTTATATTATTAGTAATAATTACATATAATACTTAATTTTTCATTGATATTACTAATACGGGTGCGCCATTGACGAGTCATAGATAATAATATGATCATACTAATGTCATTGAAAACTGAAGTATTATTTGTAATTACTACTGACTAATAAATAATTTTGAAATAAACTCCACTCAGTTTTTAAGCACAAATGATGCGCAATCCATTGGCGTCAAATAAATTACAATATCTTCAGTAGTTTTTGAATAAATCAACATTACATATTGTATATTCCTTGGCTATGACATGCATCTATCTATGGATTTTACCATAATATTATCTATGACCATAATGTTTATTTAAATCTTATCTGTGATTTAATGTATGATGTTTACCCTTTGTATATCTATTATCTATGTTTTATAAATAATCTGTGAATTAAACGTTAAGGCGTCGTAATTTTAAGATTTGTTTCGGATTCTGGGTGCGTTTCTATTTTAATGTATTGTTTAATTAATGCAATTTCTTGTTATGTTCTACAGAGTCATTAAAGTTCCGCCAGAAAAATAGTGGAAAGAATATAAACAAATGGAATGGTCGATAATTTTGCTTTTGTTTTTCTTCAGGTTAGAACATCGTCCAGTTTATTAAGGTGAGAATGTATGCCATAAATAAAATTAATAACTTATTACTGATCATTAATCTTTAAATCAACATTGCTTTTTATCATTACAGCTTTTACTGTGCAGACTAAATTAAGAAAATGTAGGATTGTCTCGGAGGAATACTATTGAGATTCTGGCTGCCATGCTGTGTTGGGCATTAGCCGTAGCAGTTCTCCTTCACTCTAGAAAATAGAAGAACTTGAAGAAATGTGAAAATGCCTTTTTCATTGTTGGAAGCAGAGCATGGTGTTATTCTTAGAGGAAGGATTTTTAACATTAAATCAGTAAGTAATACTACTAACTAAATGTAGTTGATTTTTTGATAAATTATTACAGAAACCTCAATTTTTTTGGCGGCAGTAACGTTTTAGGTGTTATTTTTGAAATATTACAACAGTAAAGGTAGTAAAAAAGAAACAGGAGAATGTTTTAAAGTTTCATTTACAAGGTGTTATTGAAGTAATCCCATTTTAGGATAACAAATCACAAACTGATAATTTTGTGAGTCTCATCAATTAACTATTCCACAAAAATGATGAAAATTTGTTTAATTGTAAGTATCTGGTCACTTTGATTATGGTGTTATATACACAAACATGTATTTCCATGACATAAATTTTAAAAACTGATAACCTATATTCGTTTTATACTGTTTTTTTGCATATGAAATACGACTTTTGCCACAAAATATTGATTTGTCTAGAAAATTGCATGACCTGTAATTTTCAACGACAGAAATAATCAATAAAATGGTACGCTTACTAATCCTTAAAAAGAATAAACGTGATTTTTAAGAGTAATGGAAAAGCACATAAGTAACGTGAAAATTAACGCAGGAATTCCAAATTCCCCACCATTTTACGAACCTCCGTTGAGAAAAACTAGCGCGGAAATTATAAACGAAGCTAAAGCTATATTAACAGGTAACAAAAATATATATGCAACATATAATTTAATTAATTTGTTATATAAATTATAACCGAATTTATTGTTGAAACTGTAGGAACTTCTAAGATGGATTC